ATTGATGTGTATATGGATGTACTTCCTTTTAAGATTATTATTCAAATGTACAATATTTTTTGTGTAGAAAGAAAGAGAGAGAGAGAGAGTCAATTAAATGGTTTATTTTTTTTTTTGAATAGATTTTGAAACCATTTAGTTGTCTTTAAAAATGTTTGCTATCAATAAATTATTTTTAATGTTTATTTCTTCATGTGAATATCCACGAGTATATATACATATATGTTTATTGTATATATATATATATATACATATATATTTTCGCTTTTTTCGTTGCACTTCTATATATGTATGAAATTGAAGAGAAATCATGTTAAATATGAATAATAAAAGGCAATAATGTATGCCTTACCTATATTTTATTATGATCGTAGTTAAAAATAAGATCAAAATTTTTATTTTTTACTATTATTTACTTTTTATTTTTTTTGAATAATTACCTAGTGACGGGGTCATTTAATGCGATTGTTTTAAAATTGTATTTTGCAAATATAAGAAACGATTTAAATATGAATTTCCTATTTTGTTGCACATAAAATAATATTCAATATACACAAATGAAATAAAAGTAATAAATTGAATATGAGTATAATTGTATTTGTACATCTATATATGAAATGTGCATATTTCATTATATATATATATGTTTATATAATTAAATATAAGAGAATAACAATATCATGATCATGAAATAACGGATGAAAACATATGTTTTTAAAATTATATAAAATGTGCTATATGTACGTACTTATGTATATATATAGCATATGTACGTACATATGTATATATATAGCATATGTACGTACATATGCTATATGTAAGTACATATAGCACATGAAGTAAATATACATTACATCAAGTAGATATGTATATATAGTAAATGCTTATGTTCAGAAATAGAATAAATAAAAATTTATTTATACAATTACATAATTTAAATGTTATATTGTATATATACCAGAATTTGATTTCTATATTTTTACACAAACTCATTCTTATATAGAACTGGAGATAATATAGATTTTAGAGTCGAAGAATCGGAGTAGTAAAGCTTGAATCAGAGAGCCGTAGTCTAGGAGTCAAAACCATGAAAGTGTAGTAAAAGAGTCGAAGAGTCAGAGTCGGAGCCAAAGAGTCGGAGTTGTAGAGTTTAAATCAGAGAGCGGTAGTCGAGTAGTCAAAACCATGAAGTCGGAGTAAGAGAGTCGAAATCAAGGAGTATTAACGGAGACTGGTAGCTATATAGTCGATTAAGAAATGGGAGTCGAATAGGTCAAAGTTTGAATCAAATTTGAATTCAAAAATGATTGGAGGCTTGCTCAAAGTCGAAATCGCTATGGTTCTAAATCTCATTTTATTTATTTTATTTACTATCAGTTATTGACAATAACGGTCGCCAATCGGCATCAGATCGAAAGAGATTAAAAATTAAACTTAATTCTCTCAGTCTTAAATTATTGGTTAATAGAATACATGATTTTTCAGTAAAAATTTTTTTTATTTTTAAATTTTAAATCAAAAGAACACATTACAAGAAATAAAACAGTTAAAAAATATAATCGAAATACAATCGAAAATAAAATCAAATCACTATTATACAAGGAGGAGTGAAATAAAAATAAAACGAAAGAAATATATAATAAAATGCCAAAGTCAAAGAACAGAACTTAAATCAAAAATGTTAAAATCATTTTATTTATTATTTTTATTTTACTTTTATCTTTTTTTTTTGTTTTTTTAAATAAAAGAAATGAACAGCTGGTTTCTCTTATAACAGACCATACATTACTTATCATATATAACAGTATGTTGTATAACACTGTTTGTAGACCCATGTCTACTGGATCTATATTAAAAAAAAAATTGAAAGTCAAAGTTTATTCAATATTCAATTTAAAACTTTTATAATATACACAATTTATATCTGATATACAATAATGAAATATCATATACACTTTTACATAATAGTACATATATGTATAACAATAACAACGCATATTAAGAGAAATAAAATAAAAAATATTCAATATTGTTCTATATGTACGTATAAATATTAAAAAAGTTCTGAGTCATACAGAAATGTAAGAAAAAATATAAGAGAATAAGAGAAAAAAAAAATTCACAATAGTGGGTTTGAAAATATTGAAAAATTCTAAAATTATTCAAAATGATTATTAAAATTGGAGCAAATTATCTTTATTCAAAGATATTATAAATTTTTTTTTCCAATTCTTAACTTTTATTATGTATAAGACAAAAGATATAAAAAATAAGAAAAAAAAAATAAAATAGCAAAAATATTTTATACACATTAATTCGAAAGGAATTTAAATTTATAATTTAAATGTAAAAAAAAAAAAAAAATTGGTTCACCATGAAAATGTTGAATGTTTGTTAGAATGTCCTGGTTCAAATTTATTTTTTTATTTATTGCTTTATTTTTTTGTTATTTTTCTACCATTATAATATTTCTGTGTTGAGATTTTTTAATTTGATTTCAATTTTTTTTCGATTAGTTAAAAAATTGTTTTACAACAATATATATCAAAAAATCTGTTTGTTTTTTTATTTCAATTTTCTGTATATTTTTCTGTATATATTTCTATGTATTTAAAAGATCTAAAAGAATTGATTTCGAATAATTTAACATTTAGAGATCTTATATTACGTACGTACGTATACAGAGTGTCCAAAGCTCTGATGTTAAGCTCTGGTGTCCAAAGCTCTAATGAAATGTGAAGTCATAGAATGCGGATAAACACGTTAAGAGACATTAAAGTCACCAAAATCATGCCTCTATAAAGAGAAGCAAGAATGATCTTACTGAAGTATCTGATCGGAAGTGTCGAATTTTTACAATTTACTGATAACTCTGAAAATATCGTTAAGAAGATGGTGAATTCGTTTTGAGGCTTATAAAATTATATTTCGTATAGCGACGCGCAATTGAAATCAAAATTTTATAATTTACGGTATATTAGTTTTTTTTTTAAGTTATGTGAAAGCAAATATTCTGGCCCATACATTTTATTATAAAATGTGGAATAAAAATATCATTTATAATAGATAAATAAAAATTTTATATAAGGCTGAAATTTGATGAAATTTATTCTGCTTATAATACCTCACCTCTTCCCCCCCTCTGCTCTCCGCCGCTTAATTCCTCCTAAAACAAAGTAAAATACAAAAATTAAGAAGGAAAAATTACAAGGAGAAGTAGTGCTTAAAATTTTTCTTCAAGATTTTGTTTTGTTCGTCTGAAGCAGTTTTATCACTTCGCTTCATCAATATTACCAAATCTCGGACACCCTGTTTATACATAATATGAAATGATTCAGTGTGTAATATTTTACATTGAAATATTTTAAGGGTGCAAACTTTGTATACACAAATAAATAATAATAATACAAGTTCAATAGAATAAAAACATTCACGGAAAACAATAAAAAAAAAAATGGGAAAAGAAAAATTAAATTTATTGAGTTTTTCACCTTAATAATGTACAAAATAACATTTTTGATTCTACATTCAGTTATCAATACCTATATACCGAAAAGTGACATATAAATATACTTGAAGGCTTGCAAGACAATGAAATTTTATATTTTATTCAATAAATTTATTCTAGATGACTCACAATTTAAATTACAGTTATTGCATTTGATTTCATTTTATTTTGTTTATTTTTGTTGTGTAAAAATACGAAAAAAAGGTATACGATTGAATCTGTGATAATGTCTGTAGAATGTCCACCTTTCAAACTAATGTCATTTCTGGAGTATTATCTAAGATCAGATTTTACAAAAATTTTGAGATATAACGACACTGTTCATTAATTTGCAAAAAAAAAAAAAAATTGAAAAATACTTACATTTTTGTTAAAATTTTTTAATATAAAATTAATTCTCGCCATTTTTTTATTTTTGTTTTTTTTAAATCTGATAAAAATAGAGCAATTTAATTATTTTGTTTTTTGTCAGATAAAATCTCAAATTTACAAAAGAATTCAATGCCTAAGCAAAGTCGATTTTGATGCCGAAAAATGCTTGCAAGTTTGGTTGAAACGAAAGTGAAAGAAGAATGTATCTTTTACAAGAGTATAGAACGTTAGAATATAGGACTATTCTATACTCAGGGAAATTCTAGTTAAGTATATACACGTTCACTAGAAAAAATTTACCTGAACTAATAACTCACGTGTTGGTTGGTGGGTGCTATGGGAGGATGCTTGGCCCTCAGGAGAGGATTTCGCCATTTAATATACCTATGACTACCTCATTATTGTAATCTACAATCTATATTAGAAATTTTTGAAAGTTTTCTTAATACACATTTACTTAACATTTTATTTTCGTCATAAAAAACTTAATTTATTCATAAACATTTATGTATTTATAGAAATTTAAAACTTTCTATTATAGTACTTGCAAATTTGGGGTACCCATACCCATTTAAGGTTTGCTCTTATAAAATTCATTTATTGTTTTTTTTTATTCATCTTGTTCATATTATAACTGTAATTGGAAGATTTATTACTTTATTTTTCTGTTTAACTGACTTTGCCTTTAGGTAAGGATATGCCAAATCTATCAATCTCCCAACAATTGTTTTTTTGCTTTCTATCAATAATACCTACATATTATTACACAAAAATTGAATAAATAATATTACACACCCAATTTATAACAGATCACAGCAGTATACTTTATGTTTCGTGATCAGAAAAATGAAAATTCAAATTAAAGATAAAAAAGAAAAAGAAATCATTCAGAAGAGAAATTCATAAAACCATCAAAAACAAAATTATTATCAAAATTACTTTTTACTGATATTCATTACTTGAGCTCATTGTTAAACATTAGACACAATAATATTCGAATATTTTTATAATGCAATTATTTTTTTATAAAATTCAAATTTTAAAATTAAATTATTTTAAAAATTATAATTGTATTCAAAAGATTTTATAATAATTTTCTAATTTAAATAATTAATTTTAGGTCGTTGATTCACAAAATGTATCACAACCGAATGGTACACAACATACGCAACGTAAACAATTAGAAGTATTACAAGCACATACATCATCTGGTTCAATGCAAGTAATACGTGCACAAACAGTTCAAACAACATCATCACGATGGTCATCATCAACATCATCATCATCAAAATCAACATCAGGATATAGCAATAATAATAGTAATAATAATATATTATCGTCATCATCAACAGCAGCATCAACAAAATTAAAATCAATAACATCATCATCATCGGCACATGCCACTAATAAATCAAATGAAAATGAATTTAATAATAATAAAAATAATTATAATAATAATGAAAGCAATAAAAATAATAATAATAGTAATATAATATCAAAAAAACAATTTAAATCACCGATAACAAATGGTTTTTCAGCTACAAGAAATGATTCTAATTCAATTATAAAGAATAATACAACAATAAAATCATCATCATCTATAATAAATAACGGTTATAATAATAATAATGGTAATATAAATGGAGATTATAATCAAATCCATCATAATAGTCATCAAGAGAATAATTTATATAAGAAACAACAACAAAATCATGAACATGAATACAATATTCATCAATATCAGCAACAGAAATCATCAAATCTACAATCATATAATTTACAAATGATGTCTACTACTTCTACTACAGCTACTTCTGATGCTATACAATTAAATGAAACCACAAAAATAACAGCAACAAATAATATCAATGGACATGACCATCACCTTAACAGCCATAACAATAATAAAAATAATCATAAAAATAATAATTGTAATGATCTTAATAATTGTGGTAACAGTAGCAACATAAATGATCAACATTCAACAATATCAACGGTAATAGCATCAGCCACCGTATTTACTAACATAGAACCAAGCCTTAAGCTTAGTAATTTAATGGTAAAAATGAAAAACTAAAAAAATAATACAAAAATAATAATCATAAAAAAAAAAACACAAAACAAAACACAATCATTAATTTAATCGATTCTTATTAGTTATGACACTGATGTCTTTTAATTTTCTTGCAATTTCTATCCGTACAAATGTTAAATATATAATATACGTATGTGTAATACATGTATGTGTGTATATTGGTATAATTTATTATATAACATATTATATAAGTTTATAAAAATGAATGTACAGTAAACTCTAGAAAAAATTTATTTTAATTAAAAATTTCGTCCTTTTGAGTGCTGTAATAGAAAAATGATTATTTCTCGCGGTTCTAGCTTCTCGTATATTTTCATTATATTCAATTGGGATCTGTCCAATTTAATGAATTATAAACAAAAATATATTTGCTTATAAAATGATTAATTTTTAATTTGTCCAATAATACTTTGCATTAAATTTTCTCAAGCGATTAATTGCTCAGTTATTTGCTCAATTTACCAGTTCAAATTTACTAAATTTTGAACAATTTTTTTTGTCAAATTCAAAGAAAATTATACACTGATAGTGAATTATGTTGCGATTTCATAAAATTACTTAAATAAATAGAATTGTTGGTTACTGTACATTAATCTTTATATTTTATACATACTTACAGTTTATATTCATACGTATAGCTTTACTTCTATCCTATTTATTTATCTATTTCACATACAAACTTATCCAGAGAAATTCTTCTTATTCACTTTTGTTTTTATTTCACAAATTCTTTAAAAAAAAGTTGTAACACAAGTTGCTATATACATAAATACAAGAAGAAAAAAAAACCAAAAATAAAAATTAACCTTGCAATGATATTATTAATATGTCTTTTGTCAACCACGAAACAGCATTTTTATTAAAAAAAAAAAATTGTTAAAAAGTTGCACAAAAAAAAAGGCATAAACCGAATGTAGAAACATTTTCTTGATGGTTTTAAAAAGTTTAATTTCTTACATTCGTTCAAACATAATTTGAACATTTCGCAACAAGATATGCAACACTTAATTTTCCAATTATAACGCCATACCCATATTTTTTTTTTTAATGAAAAAATTAATTTTTTCTACATTAATATGAGCTAAAACTCTTCAACTGTAGTTAGGGTTTACAAATTAAAAATTGTACATTTATTTTGTTTGATTAGATTAAAATACTTATAATGAAAGGTTGACGTTTTAAACGTCTCTACTGTCATGGAATAAATAAAATCATAATAAATAGTACTTATCAAAAAAGATGTGAGCATGTTCGATGTATTCATCAAACATGTTCATGACATATTGCCTTCTTCAAACATGTTCGAACGATGTTCAATTAAGACGTCTCAATATGTTTGATGTCTAGACATTAAAAGAAACCGTGTCTAGATATTAAATATGTTTTAATAATATCTAAATGCTAATTTGAACTGCTTGTAGAACAATTTTTTTTAAATATATTTGCATTATAAATGTAAGAAAACTTATTTATATTTTAAATCTTGTTAAAATAATTAGCTAAAACACAGATGAATTATACAAACTTTAATTTTTCTATAAATACAATTACCTACATTAAATTTTCTAAATGAATATTCTTTTAGTAAGCCCGACTAACTATAATTTTCATTCTCCTATAGTTTATTTTTAGAAATTCATACGATAGATTAAGAAATTATATTATTACTACGCTTTGTTGTTAAACATTTGCGACTATTGATTCGCGTAAAGATATCCAGACATTAATTTTACACTTTTATTTATTTTTTTTTTTTAATTTTTTCTAATTTTTTATTTTTCGAGTAATTTAAAATTTTTGTTTTGTTTTCTTTTAATTTGTTCTCTTTTTCATTTTTACGCTAAAGCATTGAAATTTTTTTTTTATTATTATTAAAATGCAATTATTATCATGATTTTAGTTTCCGAAAAATTTTATAAAATTCAATTGATTTGATGTTTGAAGCAATATCTACAAGGGGCTTTACAGTTATTATAGCAATATTAACAGTATTAACAATTTTATCTAAGAACCGTGTAATCTAAGAATGTAGTCTACTGTCAATGTCAAAATATTATCACTAAATATTTTATTTAACGCAAAAATTATCAAAATTTTTAATTTTGTGTAACTGATAATATTTGTGGCAAATTTAAGAATCAATTATGCTTTATAATTAAATTTTATTATTTTAAATAATGTAGTTGTGGTTTAACATTTAATTGCAGTAACAAAAATTTTTAATTGACTTTATAGAATTTAAAATTCAATTCAAAATGGCAATATTAAAATCACGGATTTTGTAATTAAAAAGATTTTATTTAAGTAACAAAAACTTGATAATTTTTAATTATTACTTAAAAAGGAAAGTTATTATTTAAGAAGCAAATTAAATTCTTGATTTTTTAATTAAATTAAATAACTTCTTGCAAAATAAGTAACTTTTAACACATTAACACATTTCTGATTTTACAATATTTCTGATTCATTCACAATTAAACATTTTAAATATCTTCTTATTTAAAATTTCAACTTCTTCTAACTTAATATTTATATTAAGATTTCAATTTAATTCTCATTTTTTCTCTTAAATTTTTTTAAACAAGCAGCACCCATAGATTCTATATCTAATATATATATGTGTATCTAATAATATAACATTAATAGTTATTATAAAACTGGTTAAAATAAATAAATAAAAAAGCTTTCTGAGTAATTATTATGTTTTACACTCTTATTTGCTATATACCTACCCGATTCGATAATCTGTATACATTATTATTGTGTCACCACTCACAAATTCAAAATTCAGCTGCTCAGAAAAAAATATTTGTATAAAAAATATTTAGTCGAAATTTATTGTCAATATTGATAACATCAAATCCAATTTTTTTATTAACTTAGAAATGTCAATTTTTTGTTTGTTTTAATGTTTTCATTAATATTGAAACATTATTTGTAGTGTATAGAAAGTGTAAGTTAATTAAGATTATAATAAAATTACAAGAGAATTTAAGAAATTCTTAAAATAAATATCATGTGTAATGGAAATACTAGCCAAGTGTTAACATTACAATAACTTAATTGGTTTGCGATATTTCGATGCGTTGTAATCTGTGTTTTTCTTTAAAATTTTAACATATTAAATAAATTTTGAACAAATATGTAGTTTAAAATTTGAATTATTTTTAAATAATATTATTTATTGTTTAACTAAATACCTACTAAAATACATAATTCTTGATATCTATGTACAAGAAACTATTCCAATATCTTACTTTATAATATTTTCATATTAATCAAATTAAAAATAACTAATATTTTTAACATTCAATTCATTTCTATTTTATTTTTTGTTCTTATTGTAATATTATTATTATATTAATATATTTTCTTTTTTTTTTTATATTTTATATAATAAATAGAAGAGCAGTCAAAGCAATAACAATGATAGAAGCAGCCCACATTCTTTTACTCAAATAAACAAAAATAGTATAAACAACTTTAGTGTTACTTCAGCGGCAACAGCAGCAATAGCAGCAACAACTACAATAAAAACACAAAAAGATCAAAATAAATCTATATCTATAGTACAGAAGGTACAACAACAACATCAACAGCAACAACAACAAAAACAAAATTATGAACAACAAAATCAATTTGAAAATGGAATAACTAGTTCACCATCAACATCGACAATATCATCGTCGTCGTCGTCGTCGCCGCCGTCATCATCGTCGTTATTATTTTCGTCTTCAACATCATCGGCGATAACATCAGCAACAATAGCTTCAGCTCATTCGTTTTGTAACAATAGCAGTAATAATAGAACAATTCAACAAAATAGTCATCATTTTAAGCAGCAACAAAAAGATATACAACAAAAACAACAACAACAATCGCCACATATTATAAATCAGCCTACATTAATAAATTCAAATTCAAATTGTGTAGGTGTTAAAGGAATTACTGAAGTTGGAGGCTTTAAGCATAACAATAACTCGTCATCATTGATTACAAATGGTGGCGGTGATGTTGAAGATATGACAATGGATCAACGTGGAAAATATTCAGATTTGTAAGTACCAAAATTTTTAATAATATTTTTTTTTGATTATTTCATTTTTTTCACTATTTGAATTAATTATTTTACTCAAATATCTATAACATCATTCATTTGTTACTGCTTAATTATTCAAAAAAAAAAAAAAAAAGAATAATCAAAAAATTATTTTTAATTAAAAAAATATGAGTACTCAAAAGAACAATAAATTGAAAAATAATATTTAAAATATTTCGCTACTTCGTTTCCTTTCAATCGCGTATTTGTTGCTCTAGACCAGAAATTCGCTATGACAATTAGATCACGAAATTTTATAATTTTATGATCTTTTGTAACACTCTAAAGACCCCTTTAAAATATTTTAATCATATTTATATTTTAAAAATTTAAATATACATATAATTTAATTTTATATTAAACAGTAATTTTGAACGGAGCCGTTCAGCTTCAACTGATGACTTATCAATTGATTGGGATGAACATAATCAAGCAGAAACAGATGAAACCTGTGAATGGCGTCGTGTTAGCAAAATACGCCGTTCATTCCAATTCCCTAAAACAAATAGTCCACCAAAATCTAGTCCATTTACCAGGCCAACTGATTTACCCGAAAATTGTGTCAGCGTTTCAAGAATACGTGAAGAATTAGAAAAAGGCAGAAGACTTAATGTTGCAATGAGCCATAATATTGTTGATTTACAAGCAATGGAAAATATTCTAAATGGTAGTAATATCAATGATTATGACCAAGACTCTTCGAAATCTTTAAAAAAATCTCCATCATTTTTAACAGCCGAATCATTAAAAGAAATACGTGGAAAATTGAAAAAGCTTAGTGATGAGTCATTATACAAAGATGATTTTGTTACAAGTCAATCAATAAATAATGATTCTAATAGAATTTCTTCTTTACAAAACCATGATTCAATATTGAATGGGATGAAAATGTCAAAAGATTCCCCACTTAGTAGTCAAATGATTTTGCAACAAAGTGCTTTTCAATACTACCCGAAAAATTCACAGCAAATAAATCATACAACAAACAGTTTGGAAAACCGTGCAACTCGTTTAAAAGATACATCTTCTGCCGATTGGCATATTCGCAGAAAATCTTATGGTTTTGAAAAAATGTCACCACCCGATAATAAAATGTTTCGTATGGAAAACTCAACTGACAGTGGCCTTGGTCGATCTAGCGATTTAGGTAATTTATCACCAACTGAACATCGTGGCACTGTTATAACATTTAACGATTCGACTGGTGGTGGTGGTGTTTTAAACGGGACAAATAAAAATGCTACGACGGTTATATTAAACGGTGATAAAGAAACAATAAACTCAAAGCCGTTAGTTCAAAGAAGATATCGTGATCCAAACAAAATTAATTCTTCAAGTGACGAAGCTTCTGAAGTTAAACGACATTCTATTGCTGTAGACGAAACTAAATATGTTCGAGAAAATTTACGTAAAGTCTTTGATAGCTCAAATTCTACTGGTACCACTGTATCACATTTAAATCGTTTATATTTAAAAGAAGATAATGGAAGTACATCAATATCATTAGATGAATCACAGCGTAATCAAAGAAAACGTGTAGAGTTCTGTAAAACTGAAGTACATTTTGCAGCTGAGTCGGGGCGTGTTAATATTGTTGAAACGGACGGTAAACCTCCACCATCTAATAATTTTCGAAGACGTCGCAGAAGTTCTGGAAATGCGTATATTGATGCTATAACATCAGGTTTACAAGTAACACATTTTGGTGATGAAAGCCGTTCTAAATCTGATACGCAAGAGCAAGCTGAACAAAATAAAAATGAAAATTCAAGTTTATTCGGAGAAAAAAGTAGTGTCACTGTTTCTATTCCATCGGTATTTAATGAACAAGATATATCATCTTCAACAACTGCAAATAATTATATGGGAAAAACTAGTCCAGATGACGAAGATCAGGATGAAATTTCTTTAAGAGGCATTTTAAAAAATAAACCTGTAAAGCCAAAACCATATCATTTAGGTGAAAATAGTATTGGCAATGACAATTTGTGGGGTGTGAAATTGAAATCAGTCACTGGAAATGATTTAACAGAAACTGCAAAATCAAAATCTTTGATACGTAATTTAGAAGAGCATGACTATGAGAAAGGTATAAACTTTACCTACAAATACACCTATTTTTAAACAAAATAATTTAACTTTATAATTATTTTAGAAAAATTGTCAAACTCCAAATCTGTGGCTGAACACGTTAGGATTGTTGAAGAACGAAAAGATGTAAATGGAAGTTATTCAACAAAAATTAATTTAAATCTAACAGATAAACCATTCACGTGGAACTCAGGTGAGGCCCTAATAACACGATTGTTACATTTATTGAATTTTATTAAATTACATTTAGAGTTTTCTTATATCTGCTAGTTCTAAGAATTCTAAAATATTATCAAAGTGGTCAACAGCTTCAAATGGCTCTTAAACAATTCAAATTTTGCAATGGTGTCTCAATTATTCTAGTTCCTTATTTTCTGTTAATGGATTTTCTAATTAATTCTTTATTTAAATCTCAACATAACACTATCGCATGCACATCAACTTCTCCTTCTTATTAACAACATCTAATTCTTTAACTGTACATTTTCAGAAACATCACCATCATCCCCATCAATTGATATTCATAAAACTGAGCAAAACGATACACATGAGTCTGGAATACAAAATCTGATTCCCATTAATGCACGTTTTCGTATAATTGATACTACAGCACATAACAATAACACAATTACATCTTCACCCACATCAACAGCAATGACTAAAACCATACAAGATCTAAAATCGACTTCATTAATAATGCGTACCATTAGACCAATACCACAATACGAACGTCAAAATAGTGAACCGACTAAGATAATTCATTTGAATGCATCTTTTCAACCACAACAACAACAGCAACAACAATCATCTCATTTAACAAATCTAACTGCCAATGTTGTTGCATCTGGTTATACTACTGCTACTAAATTGATCTCAAATATGACTGCGATAACAAAATCAAATAGTGCTAATAATATTTTATCGAATTCATCAACTTCTTCATTTGCTCTTACTGATACTGCATCATCATATTTTCGGAAAAAATATTCATCCTCATTAGACGGTGAAACTGTACTAAATGAAGATCATATTTATCGCGGTGGGAAAGTTTTAAAATCATCTAGCTTTGAATCAGCGATGGTTAATAAAAATTCACCTTTGACAACAATTAATTTAATTGAAAATGCTTCTAAAAGATTTTCTACAATTGATAATCGTTTAACAGTTGATTCAACTGAAGATGAAATCAAAAAACCAGTAGCAATACCAAGAAAGAGTTCTACAAGACCACGTTCCATGGGAAGCTTCCCATCAAATCATAATTCTCATTTAGGAAGAATATCCGAAATGATCCATAATAGTGATTTGGAGAGTGACGATAGCGTTCAAGCAGCTGATGAAGAAGTTAAACGTTATTTAAGTAATGAACTTTTAGATCAATTAGATGAAAATGAAAATTCAAATGAAGTTGTTGCTAATAGTTGGAATCGTTTGAAAGCTGAAAAATCGACAATTAAATCTGAAAAAATTGACTTCAAAGGTAATTTTCATCTTGTGCCGGTTTTCTAATTGTTTTTGTGATGGAAGCCTTTTATCGTCCTTACTCTTCTAATTTTCAAACTCTGCAAAACTTTAAAATTTTTAAATAGTATAAAAGTCTCAGAAATTTTTTTAAAAATACCATATTTTCAGATATTCCCAAGTCTAACGTTATGTCAATTAAGCTACAATCACCACAACCTCATAAGAAAGAATTTACAAATGTGCATGAATCTTCGAAAAATATGCAAACACCAATGCCAGTAGCTAAACCACGCACTTCAAGTAAGTAAATATTACAAGAACAACTTCCTTAGAACAAACTACTTTTTGGCAGCAGTACTCTTTTCTTTTTTGCATTTTTTAAACTACATTTTTAGTAATTTTGGAATTTTAAAAATTTTGCGCAATTTATCTATTGTATATGTGAATATTTTCGTAACTCATACGTTTTTTTCTTGCAGTTCAAACTCTTAAAAATCTATCTAGTACGAATGATTGCAAAATCAATAAAAATCCTATTAAGGTTTCACCTCTTCCGAGCCAATCGCAATTATCACCGAATAAATTACCATTGGAAACATTAAAAGTTGAACCAAATGGTACAAGAAAACTTCGCGAACATGAACTTTTATATTTTGGTGTTAAAATTAATAATGAAGATGAGTTAAATCAACATCATATCAACAATTTTAATAATTCAAAATCACGAAATCAACCCATACAATCTTCAATTAACGAAACTAATCGAAAACTTCAAAATAATCCGAAAATCATCGAAGAGACAACAGGAAATCCATCGAAATGGAAATTAGCATGTGATAAGCCAGATTTGCTAAGGCATAGCCCAATGGAAAAAACTCAAAATAACGTTCCAATGATCTTAAATCCTAGGGATCAAAAATTAAACCAGATCACAAAAACAAATGGAATTTTGATGCAAGATGAAGATACAGAAGAAGATGAAGATGAAGACGAAGACGCTTACGTTGGTCCAATATATGAAAATTTAAAGCTTCCTTACCCTTATAATCGGAAAGATGATTTGATAAGAGATGCAATGATTTTAAGTGAGATGAATAAAGCTGCCGATCAGACAATGAAGGTAATGTTCTTTAAAATTTGCACCTTTTCCTTTAAAAATAATTAGATTTAAAAATTTCCTTTTACAGACTGTAATCGATGCTCATAAAATTCAAAAACGGCGAGAAAGACGTCGATCTGAACAACTTCATCAATCACAACCACTTGACACAATTGAAGAAAAAATGTCACCATCTTCTAGATTAAGTCATAATCAACACGAATCGGAAAAATCTTATTTGCAACAAACAGAGAATTCCCAACGTCGCTCATCATTGAGCCGTCGATCATCCTCAGCTTCATCTACAGGAAGCTTCTCTGATTCTGGTTCGATATGTGGTCGATCATCAAGATCTAGATCAAAGGAAAAACTTCTGGATTCAACTGATAGTCCAAATAAACTTAAATCAATATTGGTCAACAAAGTTAGACCGAGAACTTCTAGACCTTCAAAAGAGTGTACATCAATAAAATCTCCAATTGCTGTAAGTGTTCGTCGAATCATCGAACATCGATCTAGCAGTCAGGAGAGTCAACGTTCACATAAGAATTCCAACGAAAATTTACAAATAGTACCACCACAAAAATTAGAGCGTCGTCATAAACGTCAAACATCTACACCTACAAAAGCAACTACAACATCATCTTCGGAGAAATATCATAAAAATTCAAGTGAATTATCAAGATATAGATCTGATCGTTCCAGCACAGAGAGTAATGAGAGGCGTAGAACTAGCAAATCTTCCCGAAATCAAACAGGAATTTCATCACCTGATGGCCATAACAGAAAAACACATAGTAATGGTCGCACAACAACAAATTCTGATCCAGCGAAAAGGATAAATTCTAGATCCAATAAAGAAGCATCAAATAGTGAAAACCATAAAACGATTAGGAGTTCTGCAAGAATAACTAAAGAACTACGTGATAGCGAAGGAAGATCTGCAAGTGAACATCGTCGAAATAGAAGTTCCCACGATCGAAAAGAGACTTCTGAACGCCACGTTAGTTCAAGAGGTCTCAAGACAGATAAAGAAGATTATCTTCGTAGCAGTACAAGATCAGACCGCGCTACCCGTGCTACATCTTTAGATAATTTACGAAGCTCTAAACGATCACAAAAATTAGAAGAGTCAAATAAAATTACTCGATCAAAAGATAGTAAGATGTTATGGAAATTTTTCTATCATAAATAAATAACAAAAAATCAAATCTAAATTAATTACATTTTCTCTATCATAGAATTATCTTCAAATGGTCATGAACATCATAAATCATCTTCTACAAATAAAACATCGATTCAACATGGTACTAAAACTGCTACAATACCACCCATTACATCAACAACAGCGTCAAACGGACATCAACATGGAACAACGTATGTATCTGAAAACCCTCTTATTACAAGAATAATACCACCGCCAAGAAAAAAACGTTTGAAAAATAATTTAAATAGTAACAATAATAATAACAGTAATAGCAATAATAGTAATAAATCTAAAGCTCAGGCACTTTATGATAATTTGAAAAATATAAATAAAAAATTATCAAAAAATTTATCACCACAATACACAAATTCAACTACTTCATCATTTGTATTTTATCCATCATCTGCAACGACATCTGCACCATTAAAAATATCAAAATCAAAAAATGAAACACATGACAGACCGTTGTTAAGTCCAAGTCCCGATGATTTTTTAAAAATTTATGACAACGATGAAGATGATGATAATGATTACGTTAAAATTAATAATAGTAATGATAATATATATTATGATCTTATCAATAATGACAATAACGATAATGATAAATGTGATAAATTTCAAAAAGAATTATTCAACAATTTGGAACAAATGAAAATGAATCAAAATTTATCATTAAATACAAAAGACTCTGACATAATCGATTATTATTTTAAAACGAAAAGAGATCGTGATGGTAAAGCAAAATATGTCATGGTACAAAATAAATCATACCATCATTTACACCATCACCATCATCATCATCATCAAGGACAACAACAACAACAACATCATCATCAACATCAAAGACGACAATCTCAATGTGGTATTTGTACATGTTCATAGCCAATGTAAATTTGTTTATTTTACTTTTTGTTGTTTTGTTTTCGTTAGACTACGTTTAAACCCAGTTATTAACAAATTACAATGAAAAAAAAAAAGTTATAGAAGATGTACTTAACCTATATTTAATTTTGAGGGTATTATAAAATAATACAAAATTCTGTAAGGCACTACCTTAGATAACTCTGTTTGACTTTTTATTTTTTGTTTATTTGTGTAACTCAATAGAACCAAACCGTTCATAACTCAGTCAATTTCCTATTTATACACAATTTATTAAGAGGAAAAGTATAGGACTTTATATCCGACAAAATCTTATTGTTTTTAAAATTGAACAAATTCTGATCTAATTTCATTAATTTCATATTTTTAAATGATTTTCCAAATTATTTGATTAATTACTTTTTTTGAAATCGTAAGTTTCTTTTTGTTTTTTGCTAAGTAAATGATTTAGCTTCGATAAATTAAAATTTTATTTAATCTTACACTTGCTTCCTCCTACAAAAAAAAATTTTCTCCAAATTCAAAATAGTGTTTTCCACACAAAACATTTATTCACTATTTATTTATTCACACAATTTAGTATTTTAGTGATAAGAGAAAAAAATTGCCAATATTTTATGTATGATAACTCTTCTCTTCTATTAGGGTTTCTTTTGCAAAACATTTTTTCATTGTGATTACATTATTATTAGTTAGGGTTTAAATTATCAAAATTTGTTCATGGATTTTGTTTGATTAAATAAAAATTTAAAAGAGTGTCAAGGTACATTCCCGAAATTTGTTTAACAAAATAAATAAAATGTCATCTAATTCTCTAATTCTTTAATTCTCATCAAATCCATAAACAATATTTGATGTCTAAATCCTGTCTTACTGGTGAAAATCATTTTTAAATTCTCATGATTTTAAAAATTTTTATGTTATTCGTAATTTATTTTTTTTTTCTTACTCTATTTTAGGTGAATTTGATTTTTGAAATAAAATATTTAAGAAAAAGAAAAAAAGAAAGAGAGATTATGAAAGAATTTTTTTTTTTTTTTTAAATTTATAATTAATTTTTTTTTTTTCAAAACCTGAAACCAAAGAGAGAATTGATCTGGTTGTATAGAAACTTGTAGAAATCGAAAAAGAAATGTAAATTTAAAAACAAAATAAAAAAAAAAGTCCAATGTAAGAAATTTTCAAAATTTTTTTTTTTTAATTATTTTTTTTTTTTTGGGGGAAATATAAAATAATTTCTATTTCTTTTAATAAGTAATTCTTTCCTTTAAATATAAAATTAGTTTTTTTTTAATTTTCGGATATTGAAATCTCATATTCGCCCATATTCTTTTAGTCGCATCACTTGAGATTTTGGGATATTATTGAAAACTATTTTTGGTTTTCAGTATCAATCTCAATAACTCTAAATTTTTGTATAAAAACAAGCGATGGAACTAACAAAATATGGGTGATATTTTATTTTTCGTCTTTGTAGACCTTAGTTTAAATAACCTTCTATTAATTTATGTTTTTTTTAATAGTATATTTTACCTTCATTTTGGGTTATTATTATATATTTTTTTTTTTTTTTAACAAATATATTTTATTTTCTAATGTCATTTCTAATTCGAAAATATTTAGTTATTAATATATTAGTATTTTCGTAGTTATTTAAATACAATCTAATAAAATTATCTAAATATCTAGATACTCAAAAAGAAAAAAAAAAAAATTTGTATATATTTATTGTAAAATAAAATTTGTATATGTTTCTATATTGAAATAATTAAAATTTTAACAATTAATTTTTAATTTTGTATTAAATTTAACCTCAAAAATATATCTATTTATGTATATTATGTAGTTGCAAATTCAAACACTAAATCTAATTAATTAATTAAATTTATATATACATATATAAATATTTTCATATTTATGTAAATTATGTTTAGAATTCGATGTACATGACATTTTATTACAAAATTATTTTTCAACATTTTTTTTTTTCCTCTTCCGTTCATAACCCAATTAATTTTTTGAACATTGTTTTTTTTTTCCAAATTATAAGGTAATGTTTAATTTTTTCATTTACACCACTATATTTATAGAAAATTTATATATATATGCAATGTATGAAAAATATATGATATAATTTTCTTTAAATGTTTATGTAAATTGTTATTGAAAACCCCCCCCCACTCATTTTTTTTTTCTAATATTAATTGAATAAAATATGGGCAAATTTGAAAATGCATTTAATGCAGGCTAAAAATACAAAATTTAATAGAATATCGTAAATATAAAGGAATTTCTATAAATTTATATAGAATATTCATCACCAAAAATGTAGAAATTATTAATAAATAAATTTTTTTGCATAATAATTTTTAATTGTAGTAAAAATAAAAAAAAAACAAAAACATGTAGGTATATCCAAAATTGGCTATGAACATTTGCATATTTCAAAATTATCTTCATCTACATATTTATGAAATAATTGAATAATTTCATTATTTTTTTTTTTTTATTACACATATAATTCATTGGAAAGAATAAAATGAAAAAAGAAAAATTTATTATTTATTTTTATATTTTTTCAATTTTTTCTTGTAAAATTTATTATATTTTATAAAATATATTTTTTCTTATAAAAAAAAAATTAATATTTACTTAAAATTTTTAAAAAACTCTTATTACAAAAAAATATTGCTAAAAAAATTAATAAAATTCTAATTTTTTCGAAATAAATTTTTATTTAAAATATTTTTAGACCTTCTTACATTAAACAAGAAACCCATTTTTTTTTATTATTTTTTTATATTCAAAAATAAAAACTTTTTCAAATTATCAACAAAGAACTTCGAATTTTAAAGCAAAGTTCAAAGCTACTTTACTCTATAATAAAAAATAAATATAATTCGGTACTGGTATTCTCGAAATTTTGAATTATTTAAAACTAGTCAACCAAACTATTCGACAATATAATGAATTGAAGTCTCTAATTATTCAAAATATTTTATAATATTCAAACCGCTGTAATAAATTTATAATTAAAATAAAATCTCTTAAATTATAACAAAAATTTGCAATTCTAAAATTAAATAAATTACCAACAATATGAAAATAAATCTTCTATTCTTTCCTGAAATTATAAAATAATTTTTATTATTAATTAAACCACATAAATAAAATATTAAATTACAAAATGTTCGATTTATTAAATATATATTTTTTTTTTTAAATTAAATCATGAAAATGTCAACAATTTTATTAAAAATTTCAATTCTTACTGAAACTACTATTATTGCTATTACAATTGTCTATTATTACTACTACTATAACTTACTACATCTGCGTCTATTTACTACATATAACCTTTTATACTTATATAATATAAAAAAAAAATAGAATTTAGAAATTTATTTAATTTAATTTTTTATTTTATTTTCGGTATAGTCACCAAAAAAAAACTCTAATGCTTTTCGTTTTTTTAATTTTGTAGTCAAAGAAAAAAAATAATAATTTTCGTATTTAATTTTTTAATAATAAATACATTTACTAAAAAAAATAAAAATATTTTAAATTAAAATTAATAATATTTAAAATATTTTTTTAATATTTACAAAAAATATTAATTTATAAATAATTTTGTTAATTTATTCTTTTACAGAAAACATTCTTCTAAATTTATAACAACATCATCAGATTTATCGTCATCAACAGCAGTAACAGCAAAACATAAAGAACAACAACGACGAAAAAAAAGTAAGGAACGTCAAAGTCGAAATTAAAAAAAGTGTCAAAATGTGACAAGTGTGATAAAAATGATCGAATTACATATATTTAAAAATATTATCGAATCAAGTGTCAAAGATAATAAGAGCATATAATTTTATTTTTTTTAATATTTTGTATTTAAATTTGAATTAATTTTTTATTATTTTTTGGATTAAATCAAAAAAGGAAATATGAAAAGAAAAAAAAATAACATTTTTTTTTTTGTGATTTTTAATTTTTTAAATAATATTTTTAATTATGAATAATTAATTACTTTTATTTAAAATAGAATAAACTATTTATACGTTAATTTATAATTTTTTTTTTTTTTTAATTTCTTGTCTACTATATTTTACTTATATAATAATCATTTATTACATAAATTTCTTTTATTGTTCTTTAATTAATTTTTTAAAAACATATTTACAATATGAATTTTTAAAATAGGAAAAAAAAAAACAAATAAAAAAAATGCTAAAAAAAACAAATAACAACAGGCCGTTTTCCAGTATATCAAATGCTTGCAAATGACATTAGTCATAAATTCCAGCACTGCATGACTTAGACTTACCAATATACGTAGCAAATGCAACTTGTTATTAATAAGTGAATGACGAAGAAATAATTTTGAAATTTTAAATTTTCCAATTTATTGAAATAATTATTTAAAAAAAAAAATAGATGATTATCATTTTGTAAAATCAAGCGAATAACGTAATTAACATGATCGTCAAATTTTTGACATACACTGTGGAAACGGCCGCGAAGTGCCGGCTTTTTTTCTTACTTGAATAATTCAATTCAAACTGGCTGCGATTTTTATTTAATAAAATTAATTAATTATGTAGTTACAAAAAAAAAAAAAAATTAATGAGACTAAAACCATAATAAACCGTTTTTTTTTTTTTTTGTATTATTAGTATTAACTAACGGAAGATGTCGCTATATATTTTTTATATTGAATAATGTTTTTTTTTTTATATAAACGCGTATACGATGTAAATGTAAAATGAATTTGCATGAATGTATGTGGAGTTTTTTTCTTTATACAATATCGTATTATAAAAATAATGTAATTTTTAAATTTAAGTTCCTTTTAATGTGTATAATTTTGAAAATAAATTAAATACATATTTGGTTTTTACTATGCCTCTAACTAAGCACTTTTATTTCAACGTTATTTTTTTTTTTTTGACAGACGCGCAGCGCAATATGTCATATTAATTTATATTATGAATGTATTAAAAATATTTCATTAATTATTATTAACATATTTTTTTTAATATTTTTGATATATTTAAATTAGAAGAAGAAATATTTAATATTTTAATAATAAAAATCGAAAAATCGAATAAAGTATTGCAATTTTTATAATTCTTTTTTTATCATTATTAATGTAGAATGTGTTTTTGTGTTTTTAATTTTTTTTTTAATAAATTTTTATAATTTACTATGGAATAATTAATATTAAATAATAAAAATATTTTTATAAAATATACTTTTTTTTTTAATTATTGTAATTCTAACAAAAATATTAATTAAATTCATGATAATTGTTAAGTTTTTAAAAATGAAAGAAAAAATAAACGACTTTAAGGTTAAAAAAAAAAATTAAAGTGTTAGAAAATTAATCGAAGTGACGCTTTTTATATGTGTATTTTGTATACATGAAAATAAAGTTTTGAAAAAACAATTTTTATTTAAAAATTTTATTTTTCCTACCTTCATTTAAAAATTTATCTATTTTTTCCTTAATTGATTTCATCCGTTCATAATTTGACCAAACTTTTATATGTCATCAACTTTCTGGCAAGTGTCACCAATAGTTACAGTACTTTTACCAAATTATTTCTCTTGCATGTATGAATGTATGGGTGTTTACCAAAATGCAGATCTAATGACAATTTGACTTTTTAAGCAATCTATTGTAAATGATAAACGAATAGAAATATAAGGCGACAATACGAGTATATTGCAGTTGTTATCTTCCAAAATTTTTCATTTATGACAATATTCATTTTAATGAAAATATGTAATAGCCGATCGTGAAAAAATATGTAGTAAATAGAAAAAAAAATTTCTAATGATGATAACACAATGTTAAATATTAAATATTTATGAAAATTTTTCTTCCTAGTATTATTGCTGACCTGATATTTTATTTAATAATAAATTTGCCTGCTATTATTTCTGCTGGCTTGGCATTTTATATGAAAACTAATTAGGTATAAACCGACTGTCAAGACATTTTGATAATAAGATACTTACTGTTAAGACATTTAAAACATTTATTGTCGAGGAATTTACTGTTGCGACAGTAACTGTCATGACAGTAACTTTTTTTTTACTGTCGCGAATTTTATTTACTGTCATGACAGTAATTGTCGTGACAGTAACTGTCATGGCAGTAACTGTCATGACAGTAACTATTTTTTTTTACTGTCACGATTTTGATTTACTGTCATGACAGTAACTGTCGTAACAGTAAGTATCATGACAGTAACTGTCATGACAGTAACCCTTTTTTTTACTGTCACGTTTTTGATTTACTGTCATGACAGTAACTGTCGTAACAGTAAGTGTCATGACAGTAACTCTTTTTTTACTGTCACGATTTTGATTTACTGTCATGACAGTAACTCTCATGCAAGTACCATTTTTTTTTTTACTGTCACGGTTTTTACATGACAGGAAATACCTCGATAATAAATGTTTTAAATGCCTCGACAGTAATATCTTATGAGAATGTCTTGATAGTCTTGATAGTCGATCTAGTTATTTTTCAAATAAAATACCAGGCCAGCAGGAATAATAGTAGGCAAATTTATTATTTTTAATTTTCTGAAATTTACTTTCAATGGTTCATGATCGCCTAGTACTTTCTGCAAAATTTGAAATGATTTTTGAATGGAAAATTTTGAAAAAAGAAAAAATCAATATTGTAACTTGAGTAATAAGATTCAAACTTGCAATAAGAATCATATTTTTTATGATTTCTATTATTTGATGTTGAGACGATAGTACGTTCGAAAATTTACGCTACATACACTGAAAATATAGATCGAAAAGTGCGTTCGGAAATTCAATCTGCAATAAAAAAATGTTAGAAATGTAGCGCAGATCTCTTATAAATTTTGTCGCTGCCCCATGAAATTTTTTTTTAAAGCAGGTTTTCTTTAAGTCTTCAAATCTTGTTAAAATTTCCTCATTGTATTGGGATGCAATTTCTTAAACAACGTCATTTCTGTTATTTTCGATCGACTGATTATTTAGAAGTTTCAGAATTTGTAGACTGCGTAAACAGAAAAAACTTAGATAACAGGTTTTTGAATTTAACGCTGCGACTTAGAGATTATAAACGAAAACCCCCAGAGCAAACAAATTTTGCAAACGAAGGAAGATTGTTTACTGAATCTTGTTATTTTTTGGACGAGTTTTTTGTTGACCCTTTCTTGTTCATGTTACATTTCCCATTACTTTATAAAACTGAAAAAATAACTTGATCTTAGAGAGTAAATTTAGCTTAGCTCTAGTTAGTACTTCAATCCAATTTAATAACCATTTTTTTTGTTTTCGTACTATGCGCTTTATTTCATTTAACGATATTATAAAAATTTCTTTTTTAATATTTTTATTATTAACAAAACTAGAATTTTTTATTTTAATTTAACAGAAAATTGAAAATACAAAAAATAAAGTCTAAAACATTGTTCTAAAATTATTTGATTTTCCATTCACTTACAATATATTTATATATTTTATACAAACTATGTATAGTATATGTATGTAATCGTATAAACTATGCGCATTAGTTTTTCATTAAATGTTATTATTTATGTACTTACATCATCTTACATAACATTTGCAATATTTTTCTTTTTAAACAGTTTACTATAATAATAAATTACATATTTTTAATTAATTAACACTAGGACTATTTGGGGTATATGTTACCGGTTCATTTCTTGTTATATTCATTCCAGAACTTTCCATTTGTGTATAACCTGATGGTGGTGTTACTTTTCCGGGTAATGTTATACCAAGATTCTGTTGTAATTGCCATCTTCTTGCATCACGAATTGTTTTATTTCTACGTATTGTTTTAGCCAACATAAATGCACATAAGATTCCAAGAAACTAGAAAATTATTTTCTAGTTAGTAGATATTTTACGATATAATATAGAGCGTATACCTCAACAAATGCTACAGTTATTGCACCAGTACCAATAAGCATTGCACTCTGTGATATTAATATATCCATTCTTATTAAACAGCCATCCTGATAAACTTCACATTTTTCCTGTTTTAAATTACTTGCATAATGATCGCAACAAGATATTGGAATTTCATCTTCTTTTAAGTTTGTCAGTTCATGCCAATCTCTATAACTATAAATACCACAGCATTCCAACTGAAAATTTTACATAACATACAGTATAGTTTAAATATAAGATTAGAAATGTAAAAATTAGAAGAATAAGAAAAATTTTCTTACACCACTTTGCATAAAATCAATGCCATCAGAAGTAGATGTTTCATATTTCTCCATGGCATTTCTCATTGTTCGAATTAACATTTCTCTTATTTGACTTTGTAAACAGAATGCTGCTATTGCAGCAGCAATTTCTAATATAAAGATTAAGCACATTAGGCAGCCATACTTTTATATTTTTTTTTTTTGTTTTGTTGTTGAATTAAAAAAATACAATAAAGTTGATTAAATTTCAATTTTGTCTGTTTTAAAATAATTATATATATATGTATGTATATATACTTACAATGTTAACTAGCATAGTCGAATGTTTAATTGCGCCCACACAACCAAATATTGATACTCCAAACATTATAATGCCTACAGCAACTAACAAAGCCGGAGGTGAAAAGAAATGACTGTCAATGAAATCACTGAAATCACCAAATATTGTTGAAATTGTTGTTCCAACTAAAATTAACAGTACTCCAGTCACCTAAATAAGGATTAGGATTAACTTATAAGTATAACTAAATTATATTGTGTTAATATTAATATTTAAAAATTCTAATCTTCGAGCTCTCTCTCCCTTAATCAATCGATTAATTACATTTTTTATCATTGGCATAAATTTCACTAAAATCACCACCTATGAACATTGTGTAAAGCGAATCGCTTCTGGCGATAGGATTATTCAAAAGTAATTTTACTTTACAGGAATCACATATGTATTTCAAAATACCGGAATCACTTCAAGATGCGAGATTCATTTTAAGATACGTAAAATTTCTTGTTAACAAAGAACAATTTATAGCAATTGCAAGCTTTGAAAAACGATACTGAACATATAATTGATGATAATTCAGCCGAAATTGTACTCTTTGATTTCCGGAATGAATGATAACGATTGATTCAGCGATTTAAATTAAAAATTAAATGCAAATTTACAAACTGTCCGGTGTTATTTATATTGATTCTATTACAGAATCTTAAAATACATCGTAATAATATGTGAGTGTAAATTAAATAAATTGATATTTATCGGGCTCAAAATTACAAATTACTAAATGCCGGTGTAATTTTCAATACTTTTACAAAATTCAGAAATACTTTCGAAGCCTCTAAAATTCTATTATAATACTTACCATAAACATAAAATTAATTACAAGCAACATCCATTTTATACACCGTTGGCCTGGTGTTGTATTACTTCCTCTTATTGCCATATTGTTATGTTGAAATATCTAAAAATAATTTAAATATTAATTATCAAATAAAATTAATTTTAATATTACTATAAGATTAGCTCATATTTTTAAATTTATATAAATACTACATTTAATAGAATATCAGAAAACTGTTAATGAATTTTGTGTATGAAATATAAACTCCATAATGCAGTCTATTTGGTATATTAATCCAAATTTTTGCAGAGAAATTTCGAGTGCAGTTTTTTTAGAACCAAAAATTGTAAATAAAATTATTTTCCATATGTAAAACTAAAGATTGCAATTGTGATGAAATCTTAAAAATTATTCTTTAAAAACGATGATTCATTGATTTCGATGTTTAAATGTTCAATAGTAAATATCGTTTGTTTGATGCAACATTGACATAACTCAAAATTTGCACATTTGAGAAAACGAATTTTAAAATTTAAGGAATAACACAGATTTCTTGTGCTACAGCACTTATTTTATGTGTTATAAGCGAAAATTTTCACAAATCGAATTTTTTGAGTTGTAACACACCACTATTGCAGTAAAAGAGTGATTTGACGCGATTCATATTAAATTATAAATACAACTTTTATTTTTTTACTTTTAAAAAATTAAAATTAACCTAGAAAATTTTTGTTTAATGAAATTTAATCTACTTTTTCTTTATCAATAACACATTCATTTTATTTCTTGCGAAATCAACAAAAATATTTTTATTGTTATTGAAAATGAACTATAAAAATATACGTAAGTAAAATAAAATATTAATGTTTATGTGAATGCACCTGTATGTGTACATGTACACGTATAACAGAATCTAATCTGAATGTTATTTTGATAAAAAAAAAAGAATAAAGTCTATATTGAGAATTTTTTTGAAATCTAATAAGAAAATAATGTAGAAAATTAAAAAAAAGATCACCGTAAACTATAGGCATAGAGAAATAATTCTGGCAAATAAAATTTTAAATCATATTATTTAAAATGAAAAGAATAGAAAAATTTTGTACTTTATAATAGCTACTATATATAGAAATAATTTGAAAAGAGAAAACAAAAACGCCTGCAACTAGGCAATTTTTTCGTAATCTTTAAAAATTTATTTGAACTCAATAGTTTTTAAATTTTTAAAGTTCTCATCAAAATTCTTTTTAAAATTTCATACTTTATACCAGAAAACAAGAATATTTTATAAAATATTTTAATTAAAATTTATGAAAAATACAAATATCTAATGTCAAAATGACTTATATTTTAGCAATATATTTTAATTTCAATTTTTGAATAAAATAAGTATAGATGCCGGATAAGTTTATAAGACAATAATTTTTTTAAAATTTTCAATTTTAATGATCGATTGCAAAAAAAATTCGGAATTAAATTTTTTTGCAATGAATTTGTTAATTATTTTTTGGCATTTACTTATTGGAAATTTAAAAATTTCGGCGTAATATTATGATTACACATTTTAAATACGTTCTTTGTTATACTTTTACCTACATATTACTATAAATAGTAGATAAATTTTTAACCAGTTGAATTTCGATAATTTTATCTAATTGTCATAAAATTTTGATAAGATAACAATAATAATATTTTTTCTATAAAAATTTTTTTATAAAGTTTTCATTTTATTAATTAGTTTTTAATGAAAATGTCATCATTTTGCCCCCATATTCAACAAATTATTCTAAACGAATAAAATATTACTTTCAGTTTTAAGATTTTAAATTACAAAAATTAATCAACCCTAGGAATTTGAGTAATTTGACTTTTTAGTTATTATTTTTTTTTTTGCAGCTGTTATGCTATACACCCTGTATGAGGTAGTTATTGTTTTTTTTTTGTTTGGTTTTGGAGGTTTTACTGTTTATGAGCAATTCAATGAAATTTTTAATTTTTATTGTTATACCGTCATTATTAATTAGTGTTTTTTGGAATAAAATTTAAATAATTTAAAATTTTTAATTATGTATTATGTAATGCATTTTCTGTTCGGACGTTTACCAAAATGCAAATTAATCTGCAATTTTCTTTAATTAGCATTTCAAATTTTATTGTTTCATATCTAAGTCAAATTGACATTTGACATATATGCATTTAAGTGAGAAGATTTTCTCTTTGTTATTGATTTTTTTTTTATAATTATATTTAAACAAATTATTGCACAAATTTTTAAGCAAAAAAAAATTGTACTTTCGAAATGTACGCAATATTTCAGAAAATTTGTTATCAGAAAATTTTATCTACACGTCTTAATAATAAACCTTTTTATTATATTTTTTTTTATTTTTTATAAGTGTTATACACTTTAATTTTTATTTATAAGTATAATATACAAGTATATACAATATTAATGTATTATAATTAAGCATTGTTGCCATGAAAAATATTTTCCAAATTAAAATTAATTTAATAAAATTTTTCAATCACAATTCCAATCCTTAATTTGTATTTGAAATATTAAAAAAAAATTAAATTATTAAAATTAATTAATTTATTTATGTTATTTACGATAAAAGCACAAAGTTTTTTTTTTCAAAATGGCGAATTTAAAATGGCCGCTGAATAATCGTATGATTTAATTTATGGAAAATTATTAAATTTTTTTTTTATTATTAATTAAAATTTTATGTTACAAGGTTTTGTGCACCCTGTATTATGTACCTACATATAAAATTAAAAAAAGAAAAACTTAAATTTTACTTTTTTTTTTGTATAATATTAATTTTTTTATTGTTATACAAGGTGTTGTATGTATCCGCTTTTTTCATACAAATATTTTAAACTGATTCGAAAAAAATTACATTACAGTTTTATTCGGTGACAAAATAAATTCTGAATTTTTTTTTTATCACCTAAGTAAATATTAAATGAAATTTTTTTTTTGTTACCTTTTGATATTTTTAAAGCTATTTTTATCTCTTATCAGTACAAACTTATTGTAAACTTTATGTGTGTGTTTGTATGTATATGTTGATTTATAAAGTTTTTGTTATAACATTACAGTTTATTTATTTATATAATTAATGTATGTATGAATGCATGTATATAAATGTATATTATGTATGTTAAAGATAAAACTCACCTGTAGAGTTGTTTTTAATTTTTTTTCATTCTGATATTATAGTTATATTTTGATATTGTATATGTATGGGCCTATGTGCAAAGTTTTACTAAAATGAAAAAGAAAAGGGCTTAAATAAATGTACATATATATTTCTATAGCAAGATAAGTTTTATACACAAATTTAATTCAAAGTTTAGATTTAATTTGGAATACTTTAACTTTTCAAATGTACATATCATGTAGGTAGGACTTAGTTGGTTGGGCATTACTAATGAAAACTAATAACTTCAGTAGGGCTACATTTAAAACTTGAAGTAGGATATTGTTTAAAACTTGATAAAATTAAAAAACAAGAATTGGCAAACTTGATTTATGTATATATGCATGTATGTATGTATTTAGATCGTTTCTGCTTATAACTTACCTCAGATAGTTTTATTGCACATATTATTATTTACAAAATTAAATAAATTTAATTTGTAAATATTTTAGTTTCGCACAAATCGAATTACATAGTAAAGCCCCAAGATGGGTTGATGGTACCGAATGATATACGGATGGATCCAAAAGTGAAGATGTGATTAAATCGAACGAATTTAGGTTGAGATAACGATTTAGCTTGTCTAGGAGCTTAGGGTCGTCTCCAATGCTTTTCCACGCAGAGGTCGTTGCTTTGAACTTTTGTATACGTTAAAAGATTCACAGGGGATAGGCATATGAACAACACATAAAATGTACACATATTGATATTTGTTCATTTATGTATATCATTAACATAGGGCATTATACCATTAACATAGGACAAAAGAAAAAGTGGTGGTCCGCCTTCTAACTGGACATATCTTCGCCGATCTACAAATCTAAAATCTGTACCTACATATATATTTACAATTACGTGTATTTATTTTATAATCTGAAATAAAAAGTAATAATTTTTGAAAATTTAAACATTTTAAAATAAAAAACTTGCGGTTATATTGCTATAATTCATTTTATGTCCCCAAAAAGTAGTCAAACTTTGAAATATACTTAAAATTTGTATGTATTAAGTATGTGAAAAAATTTAATTTTTGATTTCAAGCTTGGATTTTTTATTCTTGTAACATCTTAAAATTTAAATGCACTGCTTATATCATCAGGCATTACAAGCCCTAATTGTAGGTACTTAGGTAGGTATCTATGTAAAATCCAATTAAATATATTAAGAATATTTTCAAGTTTTGAATAATAATTAACGCTATTTGCTTTAAAAAGTCAACTTTATCAGAGCTTTAAATTTTCTTATTAGACTTAAAAAAAAAGTTGAATATCGTTTTCTTTGATACCTTTTCATTGAATTTTTTTTTGCTTTAACAACACTTTTAAACTAGATTTTTAAATAACGACAGTGTTCACAATATTATTTGTTTATAAATTTGACTTATTGATAGCTGTCAAATTTTAGTTCCACAATTGCATTACGATTTATGAATCCACTATTTTTTTTAAAGCTGCCGTTGTTACTTTAAGTATTGCCGTTTTTTTTTTTTTGTAATGGTATAGTAAATTTTTGTTTCTAATCTATTTTTAAATTTTGTAAATACATAATATGTAATATAATAATGTTTTAATATGAGAATGTGATTCTGTTTTATGCGTTTTACATGCTTTATCTGAGTTTCTGAATAATATTAATGGCTCAACAATTCTAAGACATTATTTTTAAAGATCAAATTCAATTATTGAAAAAATTTTATTTCTTTTTGACCTTTCGTAATTTTGTTAGCAATTTTGGTTCTGTTTCAGATAGACATAAGATTTACAAGGCTTAGATTATGAACTTTTTTTATAAATATATTTTTACACTTGTTTTGATCTTTCGAAATTTCGAAATCTCATTGCTTTAAATTAGACTCATTTTGAAGTAATCTACATTATTTCCTTAATACACATATAAACATAAATATAAAAAACTTGTAATTTTACTATTTGCATAAAAATTTACCATTACATTTATTCGGTGTGAGAAACACAAAACGGAAAACGAAAACACTGATTCGAAGGCCGAAAATAATAGTTTGTAAAAATTTAAAGTTATACGTAAAGGCAGTGTAAGCCTAATGTAAATTTTAGAAGTTATTTTTCAATTTCTATCCCTGTTTGCCTTCAGATCAGTATTGCCATTACTAATTTTCTGACAATTAGTTTGCACTATTTGTACTATTCTACCTTTTTATGAATCATACGCTTGTTCAGCTGGTATTATTTGCACTTTTGTTTTGAAAAAGCAAAATAAAGATTCCCTTAATCATTCTTACTAATTTCATAATTTGAAGAGTAAAGGTAGTAAGTGTTGTTTTTGGAATTTTTTAGAAGAGTATAGAAAATTATCATTTACTATAAATTGGAAAAGTTCACACAATTCTTATTCATTCGAAATTGAAGTGTTCGTGAATACAAGTGTATAATTTTTAATTATTGCGCATTAAAATAAAAAATAAAAAAAATGGCTACTTTAAAAATTGTGTTAAACAATAATAATATTGTGAAAGCTATTTACACTGAACTCCCAAAAAGCTATCGAGATTTATTATCATTTTTGGAAGATAATGTTCAATACAACTTGAATTATTTTATGTATTGGTTTGGTGAGTTTTTTTTTTGCTTTATTTTAGAAGTTATTTGAGTCATTACCGTTAAAAAACTATTAGATTTTATTAAAATGTTATCAATTGAATTTGTATATAAACAAATAAATTTAACCCAGTTTATTGGTCCTACCTACATACTTTCAATATCTACTTATGTATGTAAAAAATCATTACTAAAATTTTTTTATTAATTTTTCATTTTAATAGATGGGGAAAATGATAAAGTTGAAGTGAGTAATGAATATTCATACGTAATGTTTTTACGTCTTACCGATGCTACATATCGAAAATTGTATGTCGATGCTGGGAAGAATTCGGATCAACCGAAAGTCGTAAATGTATCAGATAATTGTAATGAAAAAATTCAGAAAGAAAAACGGGAAAAACCCGAAAAATCACACAAAGAAAAACGTGAAGAGAAAAAAAGATGTGCTCCAAAAGATGATACAACTAACCAATGTAATACCATTCATGCTGGCGTTCAATGTGATGGTTGTGATGCTATGCCGATAGTAGGCTATCGTTATAAATGTCTCCAATGCATCGATTATGATTTGTGTGCAAATTGTGAAAGAAAAAATGTACATTCCAATCATAAAATGATTCGACTTGTCGAGAAATTATCAAGACGAGAAAATCGTGCTTCATTTGGAATTGGTTGTCCTTTCACTGGTGATATGCCTGCTATGGGTGATCCACAAAATCCCAATGAACCATGCTTTGGGGGAAGACGTCATGGGCGTCATGGTCATCGTAGAAACAATCGTGAATTTCCTAATATATGGTCATCTATATACCAAATGATGTCTGGTTTGTCTGAAGGTGGTAATGTAAATTCCAATCAAGAAAATAAACCAGAGGAAAAGAAGGAAGATTCTAATATCAACAATAATAGCAAAGAAAAGAAAGATAATGATAATGGAGAACAATCCAATAACAGTAATAATAATCAAAACAATACCAATAATCAAAACAATACCAATAATAATAACGCAGGTGCCCCGAGACCAGGTATCTTCTACGATCCAGCAGCAATAAATGCTGGAGTTGAAATTTTGTCAAATTTCAGTGAAATGTTTGCAAAAATCATTGATCCACTCAATGTAACTGTAGAAGTTGATGTTGATGGATTAAAAACAAATTTTTCCAGCAGAAAAAATTCTAAAAATGATACTGCAAACGAAAATAAAGAATCCGAAAAGGAAAATAAAGAATCGAAAAACGAAGAATCAACTGAAAATGTTGAAATGAAATCAAATGAAAAAGAAGAAAACATGAATATTGAAGAACCAACAGCTCCACAAGTTGAAGAAAGCACATCTGAAGATGTCAATATGAATGAAGAAGGTGCAGTTGGTTTTACAGCTAATGATCCAATTCCAAGCACTTCTCAGAAACCTGATATTCGTAAATCACCAAGTCAAGAAGATGCAGGATGGACAATAATTGATGATTCAATGGATTCTGATAAAAGTTTAAAATCAAATAAAACTCAAGAATCTGCATCTAGTCAGATTCAACCCACTGCACCCCCAAAACCAGAAATTAATTTTTCACAATTAAGTAAAGATTTACAAAATCATGTTCTTGAAGAAAAAGCAAAAGAAGAACAAAGAAAACAAGCAGAAAGAAATAAAGAAATTCAAACTAATATTGTTTACCACAGCAGTAAGTACATATAAAAATATTTTAATAAATAATTTTATATCTTTGACATCTAAATTTTTATATATGTACATTTATTTATAAATTTTATAATTTTAGAACCACACATCAATAATGCTATTATTGCAATGAAAGCTATGGGTTTTAGTAATGAAGGAGAATGGCTAACGCATTTATTAGATTCAGTTGACGGGGATATTTCTCAAGCATTGGATTTATTGAAACCAGCAAAATAAACCATTAATAATATAAGCATTTTATATTACATAATATTATATAATTTTTGACATAAAAAGACATAAAAATATATGTGTGATAGACATACTTTATTTACTTATTCAATTTTTAATGTTATTCAAAAAACAAACTAATTCCATTAAATAAAAAACAAAAATATGGTATGGGCTACTCTTTGACAATTTTTTCATTAATATGAAAGTATAGTTATAAGATTTATAAAGTTATTCAAACTTATAAAAATATGAATAAAATTTATGTTGTATAATCACTTTGCAATTCGTATGAATGTGAAAAATGCAAAAAAAAAACAAATAATAAAATGTTTTAATAAAGTAGTTTTATTAGAATAAACAAAGATATTTTTATTTGAACTATTTTACAAAAAGGTTACCAATTTCGTTTTGAGTTTATTGGTCAGTCATCATCTTGGTCTACATTCATACTCTCTAAATGTGCTTTGGCGAGTATACATTTTGTTAAATAACATTCACATGGTAATGGATGTTCAACATCATTAACATCTAATAATTCAATTTCTAAATCATATTTACGATTATCATCAGATTTGCGTTTCATTAAAATTTTAAAAGCTACTGGTTCTTTAATTTCAATTTTATTACATTCAGTCTCTGGTAATACAATAACACATTGTTTCCAATGTGTTTGTGATTTTTCATATGGACTTGTTGATAATATTACACCTGATTCAAAATTTTTACTTGGAAATTGACAATCAAACCATATACAAAATCCTTGATGTAAACCAGCTTTTTCAAATGGTATAACACCCTCATATTGTATTTCATCTAAATCATTTGTTGTAATATTTTTTAAATCAAACCATGACATTACAATTTCCTTTGATAACATTTCACTTTCATCTATATTAATAATTTCAGGTTTATTTGATTTTTGTGTTCGTAATCTTTTGCCGAATATTCTCATATTAATACCATCAACATTATCCCAATATGAATATCTTGAAGATACTGAACACGGTGCTACATATATTGTCGCATATTGTGGAAAAATATAACCATTAGATTTTAAGAAATGATCTCTAGCAAATATAACAGAATCTAACATTCCTTCATGTAATAAATAAAATCCCATCCATTCTGATATTATTATATCAACTTTATCCTCATTCTTAGGTAATTGAAAATTTTCAATTTTTGAATGTATAACTTTTACAATTGATGTTAAATTATTGTCTTCAATAATTTCGATAGCAATTTTTGCTAAATTGGATGCTTCTACAGCATATACTAATTTTGCTCCAGCTTTTGCAGCAAACCTAAAATTTTTTACTCAAATTTATTTTTTTTAAACGTTTCATGTAGGTAGGTATGAAATTCACATACATTGAAAGGATACCTGTACCAGCTCCTACATCTAAAATGACTTTGCCTTCAAATAAATGTTTGTTAGACATAATCGCATTAAAATATGCCTCTTGGCGGTGTCGATCTTTTAACATAACTTCATGAACCTTAAAACAGAATTAAAGGAAATATACCTACATTAAAGATTTTATAAAAAAAATCTATTTTTATACATAAAGCAGCGTTAATGTTAATAAAATGTTCCAATTTTCAGTTCTATAAATTTTTACTGAAATATTAAGAGTTTAATAGGAATAATTTCATGAATTAAATGTGATCTATGCATATATTTTAATGTATGTATATGTTTGGTAATATATTTTTGAAAACGGCAGTGTGCCAGACTTTGAAATTCTAATTGGAAAAGAAAACTGATGTGAGAGTTTGAGCTCCGAAATATCTTTCTTTTAAAAGCAGAAAATTAATTTGGAAAATTTTTTTCGATCTTGTATTTTGGCAGAATTAATAGTTTCCAGGTAGTTCACATAAATTTATTTTTCAAATTTTCATTCATCCCCTAATGCTAAAAATGTAAACAAAAAACAAAACGAAATTCTTAAAGCACGTGTAAATTTAAAATCACCTCTAAATCTTCATAATCTGTAAAATAGGCTTCTAGTTCATTCTCCATTTTTCAAAAATCTTCTTGAATTACCTAATTTCACAATAATGTAAAATTTTAATTAAATAATTCAAATTAAATGGTCGCAATTAATTTTTTATTTATTAACAATGGGTTTAAAATTTCGTAGTGTCAATAATTGTAAACAATAATGAAACGCACCACAGGAATGACATTCCTGAATTCTACAACTTACAGATATAAAATTCACCATTCGGTCATAGACACAAACCACACAGCACACATTTAAAATAAAAATAAAATTGTCAAACTGTTGTCAAATTATCCAGGTGACAGTTGAATTTGTTTTGAATTATTCCGTTTTTGTTTTGTTTAAAATTACATAAATTTTACTTTTATGATAAAAGCATTTCGATAAATAAAAAAACTTTTGTCAAATGGTAAAACGAACTACTTTTACTTCATATTTAATAAATAAATAAAATTTTTATAATTTTAACCATTTCTGTAGCGAAAATCTTTAGCACCTAGTCAAATAAGGGCCAAAGCCCCGGAAAGTTTAACTTTTGTGACGCCTTTTCAAAACAAAAGAAAAAGGGAACAATTTTCAAAATCACAAAAAAGAAGTTGCGTAGAAAATCAATCCTCACCCATTTCAATAAAATATACAAGTTCTGAATATGAGCAATTAATAGCTTCAATATTGAGTCGTGCATTTAAAGTTCCTATACCAAATTATGTTCCAGACTACAATAGCAATAAGTTAGTTAATAATAGTAATAATATTGATTCTTACAGTTTTTCATATTTTTCTCTTTGTTTTTTCTTTTAGATGCCTTGGTATTAAGAGAACATTTGTACGACGAGCACTTTATGATCCACATGCTTGTAATGCTCTAATTTTATATGAACCACCCCTTATTAAAGAACATGGTTGTTTGTTTTTAATATTAAATTAAAGTAAAAATATATAAATTAAAAATCTTTTTAGAACGATTATCAATGGACCCTAGTAAAATTTTAGTTCATGTAGTTGTAGATCCAGTTTTAAGTAATATATTGAGACCACATCAAAGAGAAGGTGTGAAATTTATGTATGATTGTGTGACAGGTAAAAAAGGAAGTTTTTATGGTTGCATAATGGCTGATGAAATGGGTTTAGGAAAAACGTTACAATGTGTTACACTTGTTTGGACACTGTTAAGACAAAGTCCAGAATGTAAACCAACTATTAGTAAAGCAATTATTGTATGTCCAAGTTCATTAGTTAAAAATTGGCAAAAAGAATTTAATAAATGGTTAAATGGTGCTGTAAACTGTTTGGTAATCGAAAATGGTTCTAAACAAGAAACTACAAAAAAATTGGATCAATATATTTGTAATAAAAGTCTGAGATGTGGTACTCCAGTACTAATAATTAGTTATGAAACATTCCGATTATATTCAGAAATTTTGAATAAATCTGAAGTTGGAATAGTTATTTGCGATGAGGTAAATTTTGAAAATAAAATATTTTGGAAAAAAGTTTAGTTAAATAAGAATTTTTTAAAAGGGACATCGATTAAAAAATAATGATAACTTAACTTATCAAGCATTAATGGGTTTACAAACGAAAAAGCGTGTTTTACTTTCAGGCACCCCAATTCAAAATGATTTAACAGAATATTTCAGTTTGATAAATTTCGTAAATCCCGGTATGTTAGGAACTACTAATGAATTTAAACGTATGTATGAGAATCCAATATTGCGTGGACAAAATTCCGATTCTACTGATAAAGAGAGAGAAATTGCAATTGAAAAAACCAAAAACTTAATTGGAATTGTTGATCAATGTATTATACGTAGAACAAATCAAATACTTACTAAATATTTACCAATTAAATTTGAAATGGTAATCTGTGTAAAAATGTCGCCTTGTCAAATTGATTTATATAAAAATTTTGTGGGATCTGATAAGGTTCGGAAAAATATTAGTAAGTTAACAGGACCTGAAAATTATTGCCATAAAATAATACTAAGGATTTTTCATTTTTAGGTTCTACTGACACAAGAACTCTTAGTGCATTAAGTGATATTACAACACTGAAAAAACTGTGTAGTCATCCTGATTTGGTATATGATAAAATATGCGCGAGAGAAACGGGTTTCGAAGACGCTCAGAAATATTTACCAGAAAACTATGATCCTAGGTAAGAAGCTTTATATTTGCATTATATACAAAAGTTTTAATTTTCAAATGAATTAAAATGAATATCTGCTTTCATTTATTAGAGAACTCAATCCAGAATTCAGTGGGAAGTTAATGCTGTTAGATATTATGTTAGCAGCTATCAAAACTAACACAAATGATAAAATTGTCCTCGTATCAAATTACACTCAAACATTAGATTTATTTGAAAAATTATCACGGAAAAGGTACTTTTCATATATTTTGCTATATGACATATTTTCTATTTATACTTAAATCTATTTTAAATAGAAAATACAAATATGTAAGATTAGATGGTACAATGACTATTAAGAAACGTAGTAAGGTTGTGGATCAATTTAATAATCCAGATTCAGACGATTTTATATTTATGTTAAGTTCAAAAGCTGGTGGCTGCGGTTTAAATTTAATTGGAGCAAATCGACTTATTATGTTTGATCCCGATTGGAATCCAGCGAATGACGAACAAGCAATGGCAAGAGTTTGGAGAGATGGACAAACAAAACCATGTTTTATTTATCGTTTTGTAGCTGTAAATTTTAATTTTAATTTGATTTTATCGAATATTCAAGATATATTTAAGTTTTTCTTTATTTCAGACGGGTACAATAGAAGAGAAAATATTTCAGAGGCAGACCCATAAGAAATCTCTTTCAAGTACAATTGTTGATAACAATGAAAATTCGGAAAAACATTTTTCGCGAGATGATCTAAAGGATCTTTTTAAATATGAAGATAGTACCATCTCTGATACACATGACAAGTAATATTTACTGATTAAATTCTAAATTTTTGTTTTAAATTGATTTTTTTTTCGTAGATTTAAATGTAAACGTTGTGTGAACGGAATTCAAATTAAACCACCACCGAATGATACCGATTGCACTTCCCATTTATCACAATGGTATCATACATCAAATAATAAGGGTCTACCGGATAGTATAACTTCACAGGCTTGGAATAGTAAATGCATATCATTTGTTTTTCATCACCGTTCACAAGCTCAAGAAATTAAAAATGAAAAGAACTGCAATAATGAATCTGAACAAGTACAAGATGAAAATGCCTTAGAAACTTCTGAAGAAGATCTTAAAGGATTTTAAATATTATTCATAATCTGTATAAAATAGTAAATCTATATTATTTTAAAGTTTTTTGTAAGGAAATTCAAATAACAAATAAGGAAAAATTTTGTTAAAGTAAATCAGTTTGTTTTACTTAATTTTCATTTAAAATTTTTAGCAATAAATAAATATTCCTTTTTAAGATTCGAGTTTATTCTTCCAGTTTTTGCAAAACCAATTATTGTAATCTAGTCGTAAAAGCAACTGTGATAAGGGGGTTGAACTTGGAGCTGATTTTAAATCAAACAAGAGATTCATGAGTTGTTCAACTAATTCTCTGAGTCTATGAATATCAAATTTATAATTTAAAAATAAATTACAATTAATGGTTTTTTTTCAATTTACCTTTCCTCTAAGAATTCGTATTGTTCTTGAATTTGATCTTTCGCTTCCTCAGATTCTTTTTCATAGTTGCAAAATGTTTCACATTTAGCAAATATTTCTTGTAAAATTAATAAAACTGAATTATTTCCTATCAATTCTTCACTTTTCTCATGGTTTTCCTAAAAATAAAAAAAATTCTATTGTCATTAAATTTTACTTCTGGTTTAACTTATTATGCTAACATTATTTCCTAAAAGAAAACATAAACTTAAAATATTTGCTTGAAAAACACTGTGCGCTCTTTGGATTTCTTCAAAATCAGACGAGTTATTCACTATATTCATAAGAATGCTGAATTGACCTAAAAATATGATTTAAAATCAACTTTTTTTTTGGTTTTACATAAGGTTATTTTTTTTTCATACTTTCGAGAACGTCAACTTGAATATAGTATTGTAAATTATCAATTAAAAAAATGAATTGATTTCTTAAATGCAATCTAAATATATTTGGTTTTGATTTTGTTTCACGGTTATTACACCAAACCATATGTAAATCATATTGCAAGCGTTTAATTTGTAACAAAAATCTAAATAATTCATTATAACGTTCAATAACTTTTGGAGAAAAAAGTAAATGCAGGGGCCATATTATTTTGTATTGTAATGTTAAATAATGTATGTAAGGTAAATTTTGATCGTCACTATCATTTAAGTTTTCTTTTGGAACTGTAATTGAAAATTGTTCTAGTTCTTCTGTTAATCCGATCCCATTAGCTGCTGACTAAAATTAAAATGCATGTTTACTTATTTAAAATGTTCAACGTTAATAAACAATTTAGAAAATTTAGTTTACCTCAAACGCAATGACTATATCTCTTACAATATTTTCCGATGAAAAAGATTTTTCAAAAGAATGAGTTTTTTTAATGAATTCCAAAAATAGTTCACCTCTACCTAATAAATAAAAATCTTTTATCAATTTTAATTGATGAACTAAATCTGCTTGTTTGACTGCTATTTGCGATAAACGTTCCGTAATATACGATTTTATTTCATTTATTAAGACATCAAATTGTGACACAGTTAAATTATTTTCTTTTTGCAAATTTTGAATTTTTTGAAAGTATTTATGTTCATTATTATTCCACAGGGATCCATCGGCTAAAGCTTGTTTTTCAGGTTCATTCCATAATTCTAAACGTTTTTTTGCAGCATCCATTTTAAACATTAATACGGTTTGACCAATAAATAAAATTTTTCTAGCTACACTAGGTGTTATAAAATGTGGTAAATAATCATAAGAGATTTCATATCGCCAAATATCAGCATATGTACTTACTGCTTCCTAAAATTAATTAAAAAATAATTTTGGAGTCTAGTTAAAAAATTGCAAACATGATTTTCTATTCTTTTATATTATTTTAAATACAAATTGTAATTTGGCATTTATTAGAAAATTTTTACTTACAGAAAAACTAGTAACAGTTTGTTTACCACTTTCACCTGAGCTTAAACCAATACCATTTTCTAAGGTACTGTTGCCAGTACTATTTTGAGATTCAACGTGTTGAATGAAAAATTCTCCATATGAATCGATCATTTTTGCATACAAAAGCCAATGTGTTAAATGTTTCAAAAATACTATATTTACGGTTGACTGAATTCTACAATTAGAACTTTAAATAGCATTGAATTGCTTAATTAAGTTTATTTTTAATTTATTACGTTTTCGATGCTAAATAAATTTGTTGATTCCCATTAAGCATATTCTGATTAAGGTACTGCATTATGGCACAACCATGTAATTTTTGTGCTTTTATACCACGAATTAATTTTTGAAAATAAACAAAAAGTGGATGAAAAACATTTATTTTATGATAAATAAATAATAACGAATGTGATGGAGATTGCAAATATCTTTTTTCTAGATCTACAATTTCTTCAACATAACTTTCTAATGCATTTTCAATTCCATTAGCAAAAGCTTGCAAGTATAAACTTTTCTGAAGGGATTCTATAAAAACAGTTTGGTATCAATGTTTTAATGATTAAATTTAAAGAAAAATATTACCTTCTGTGTCATCACTCGCATTAAAATCATTCAAATCTTGACCAATTCTATAATATCTTGTAAATTTGGATATTTCTCTGTGCAAATTTATTATTTCTAGTATATCCTCCAGTATTTTTCTTTCGCAAGGATGTAAAAATACCGATACATAATCGGTCACCTGAAAAATTCCCATACTTTTATTACACAAATTTCATATATGATTGTATTGAATCAATTTACCAAAAAATTTTCAATTGGAAGATTGTCTGCATAAGGATTTAATAAGGAAAGCAAAATGTCATGAATCATTTTTATATTAACACAATTATTTTTTATATTTTAAAATTTCTTAAAATACTTATAAAATGTAAACAAACTTTCTTATTTTAAATTTTGACGTTTGGATTGTTGAAAATCCAATTGCTCTAATTTAAATGTTGAAGTGCACAATAAGCGCAATAATGAACCACAATAAGCGACATGCGATTGTAAAAAATTTCGTATTGTCGCTGAATAAAGAAAAATTACTGCGGGTGTGAACAAATATATTTTGTTATATTTGTTAGAAGTTTAAAGTGGGTAATAAATTTTTATCGAAATTTCTCAGCGAAATGTTTGTAATCTTTCGTTTCAAACGTTTGCTATTAATATAACAACCCGCGTCAACGTTAAGTATTTACACTTTTCCTTACTCAAATCGTCAGAAAATGTACAAAACCCAAAGCACAGAAAGTTTTCGTAAAAGATATTTGCTTCATATGAATTAAGAGTAATTGCAAAAACAGAACCAAAGCGGAGAACGAAAACGGCGAACGATTTCCGTTGTTAACTCAGAACTCACAGCACAACTATTTAATATTTTGCACTTAATGTCAAAAACACATGAAAACAGAAAATGTAAAAAAAAAGCAGTCGGTAAAATATGAGTTTTGAAAATTTTAAATGCCCGGACTCTCATTTCTAAAATACTAAAATTACGTTGGTATTTTCGCTTGATTTTGGGTAGATTCTGTGCAATCTTATCTAAATACGTGTATTCTATTAAACTTTTGACATGTCGCTACGGAAAAGCGCTGCGCTGTTTTACTGTTTGCAACTAAAATTAATGAATGTAACTAGTATAAGTGTAGCTAGGATCATTTACTTGAATGTGCCTGTCTAGTCTTTTTTATAAGTCAAATTGATTTTTTTTTACTTTTGACATTTACCGGAAAAAGTAAACATACCAAAGTATTATAAAATCTGCAAATTTGGAAATAAAATTAGTCGTTTTAAAATTAAATTTTTTAAATTAATATTTCCATAATGATTTGATGCATAAATATTAGTATTAATAAAAAGCCAATAAAAATATAATGTTAGGAGAAGACTGGAAAATTACCAAAGTTTTAAGTGGGATAGCAAAACGATTGTGGGCTGGAGCTGGAGCAGCAATTTTAATAACATTCGTATTTTATTGTTTTTATGGAGCTCTCATAGCCTTTTCTTTATTCGGATTTGCTGTCTTAGGTAAGTTAATTAGAAAATGTAAATATAATTGTGACAATAATAAAAAGCATATTTCAAAATCGTTTAATTTAGCCCAATAAAACATCTATAAGAATTTTAAATTAATTTTACTATGAAAATTATAATTTTGAAACAATTCAATTTTTGTTTGTTAAGCTTTTCAAGTTTTCTAAATAATTTATCCTTTTTAATTTTAGCTATTTTATATAATGCACAAGATCATCTGTTGTATCATCCAGAATTACCAAGTAATTCACGTATATATGTTCCGATTCCAACAATGCATAATTTGCCACATGAGGTGATTCACAAAATAATTTTGTTTAAATATTAATAATATAAAAAAATAAATCCAAAATTATAGACAATTTCAATAAAGACTACTGACAAAATCACTCTTCATGCCTTTTGGATACGACAACCAGAAGAAAGATCAAAATTTGTACCTACTGTTATATATTTTCACGGGAATGCAGGAAATATGGGACACAGATTACAAAATGTTTGGGGAATATATTATAATTTACATTGTAATATTTTAATGGTTGAATATCGAGGTTATGGTTTATCGACGGGCTCCCCAACGGAAAAAGGATTATGTAATGATGCAAGAGCGGCAGTTGATTATTGTAAATTTGAATATATTTTGCAAAAAAATTATTATATTAGAACTATCATAAATATTTTTTTTTAGTATATACACGTGATGATTTAGATAATAGTCAAATTATATTATTTGGACGTTCGTTAGGTGGTGCAGTTGGTACGTGCTTTTGTGTCCTTATAAATTATTTTATATTTATAATATAGAAATTTAAATATATTTTTAGTTATTGATGTAGTCTCCGATTATGCGTATCATAATCGTATTAAAGCTATGATAGTAGAAAATACTTTTACAAATATTCCTGAGATGGCTTTAAGGTTATTGCATCCTTATGTGAAATATATTCCTACATTATTTTATAAAAATCAGGTAAAGCATATAAATTTTAATGATCTTACGAAATACATACTTTTCTATATTTGATTTTAAATAAATCCATTTTATTCTTTGCCTTCAGTATAATTCACTAAAAAAAATTAAATCCGTTACAATGCCATGTCTATTTATATCTGGATTAGCAGATACACTAGTGCCACCAAGGTAATTTTTAATTTTAACGTGATTGTAAGGAAATGTAAAAAATTTTTGATCTTGTAAATGTATTTCTTTTTAGAATGATGAGACAATTATATAATGATTGCGAAAGTAAGAAGAAACGTCTTATTGAATTAAGTGGGGGATCCCATAACGACACTTGGATATGTGCAGGGTATATTTCTAAAATAATAAAAATTATTAATTTAATTTATTCGTAATTTTTATTTTTAAAAATTTGCAGTTACTATCAAGCAATTGCGAATTTTTTAGATATGTGTCGTAATGAACCATGTCAAAAAGCGCCTGAAAAAGTAGATGTATGGAAAAATGTTCAAGAAGTTTAGCATTAAAATATAATTTTAGCCTAAATATAATATTTTTATTTTTATTAATAATCTTAGTCCAAATAAAATAACATGCGGTTTTGAAAAACTGTTGTTGTATAAGATAAATTAAAAATTATACGAAACATAACAAAAAAATATTTATTAAAATATTTTGAAACTTAAATTGTTTAAAAGTATTTTGTGTCATTTTTAGTAATTATAAAATATTTCAAATTAATTAATGACAAACAAAATATTTTGTTATTTTTTATGTAATAGAATTTTTTTTTTTTGTTGTTTTTAGAAAGTAAAAAATTAATTAGTAAAAATTAAAATAGGTTATAATTAAAAACTAAAACTGTTTGGGTTTTATTTTTAATTTATTGTTCTTTAATTTACAGGTGATCAGAATACCATTTATCTTGTTTAATTTGTTTTATTTGGATACGAACATTTAGCGGTGCTAAAAGTTTTAATATAAGTTTTTTACATTCTATTGGTACATTTGCTGGTAATCTTGGAAAAATTATTTTTACTTGTACTTGTCTTAGTAAATGTTTGCAACTTGATGCATCATAAGGTAAATGACCATAGACCATAGAATAAAGGACAATACCACTAGCCCAAATATCTGACATATGTGGATCATAAGGAACACCTCAAATATATTTAAATTTAAATCATTAAAATTTAATCCTAATTTAAGTTAATTTCATTCATTTGTAGCTGATTACCTTTTAAAATTTCTGGACTGGCATATGCATAGCTGCCACAATAAGTTTCAGAAAGTACAGGTGAATTATTGATAGGGAACATTCCACCACGTGCAAAACCAAAATCAATCAATCTTAAATTCATATTCTCGTCAAAAAGAAGATTTTCACACTTAATATCTCTATGTACTACACCTTTTGAATGGCAATATTCAAGTGCATTTATGAGTTGTTGAAAATATTTTCGTGCTTTATTATCATTCAATTGTTTTTCTTTTCGTATTAAATCAAGTAAAGATCCATTTACTGCTAATTGCATTATGATGTAAACTCTCAAAATTTTTAAAGAATTAAAAATTAAATTTTCATTTTATCACCATAAAAATATTATTACAAAAGAAATGTAATTAAAATTTTATACTTCTCTGTTGTTTCCACACTATCATAATATTTAATTAAATTTTCATGTCGAAGCATTCTAATAATTTCAATTTCTCTTGGTAAAAATCTATTCAAATATTCTGATGGAACTCTTGTTTTTGAAATTATTTTAATAGCAACTGGCTTTTCATACTTACTAGAGTAAGCAATTTTAACTATTCAATAGATAAAGTAAGGAAAATTAAATACAATAAGTTATGAAAATGTTGATGAGTGAAATTTTTACTTAAAATTTCGGATTCACCGATGTGATCCACTTGTATACATACATCCATACATATATACAATATAAATATACCTTTTGCATAAGTTCCTGATCCTATTTGATCACCATATTTAAAGCCTTGTTCTTCTAAAAAACTTTTTTGAATTGGTAAAACTTCAATGGATTCTTTTGTAATATTTTCATTAGAAACTGATATTTCTGATTCTTCATTTTGTTTTTCATTTTCATTTAAAGATTCCTTATTATCATTGTCATACGATTTCGTTTCCAATTTTGTTGTTACCTCATTTTTCAAAAGATCAAATATTTCATTAATAGATTTTACTCTGTCTTTAGAATATTCTTTAATATTTTTATCATCATTTATTATTTGCGTTATTTGATCAACTTTATTGTAATTTTTAGGATTTTGATAATCGATTAATTGTGTTGAAGTAGGTTGATTTGCTATATGGGCATGCATAAGTAAATATGAAGAAATTCTTATAAGAAAAATTTTCTTATTTGAAATTTTGTTAATTGTATTTATTTAAACCGTACTTGTTATTGATTCGGCAGAAGAAGTTCCCATTAAAGAACAAAGATATTAAAAATATTTATTTTGATTTTTTTTTTTAAATTTTAAATTTAAGAGATCATAATTTTTGGAATTAAAAATTTTCAAATTCGTTTACAAAAATTTTTTTGTTAATTTTTATTTTATTTGAGTGATTTTTATGTCAATGTTAGTTTACTTATATTTTGATTTTTTTTTTATAAGTATTTATTTATTACCACATTTTTAATTTTAATTTGATAATTTTTTAAAATTCAAATTTTTGATTAATTGATTAAGCTGAAAACGTGATTAAGGGCCTATTTTACCCGACAAGTCAGAAGAAAGTGAATAATTATTGTATAATTTGTATAATGTAATTTTAGAGTGAGAATTATTTGGTATTTCGTAACTCGTTTTTTTTCTAAAAATGAGTAATCTTATTGGAAAAATTAAAAATATCTATTAGATGGGCAATTCTGATTTGAGAGTGAATAAAAGGTGAGTAAAAAAGCGAGATACACGATTAGGCCGTTTATTTTACATGAATTTTAAGTACCTTCATTTTAGAACTTTTAAAAATTCAATAAGTCTATATTAACCCAAATTAAGATTCTTGTTGGAAAATTATTTAATCTTTAAAAAAATTTACATATAAAAAGAAGAAAAAAAGAAAATTATGTAAATTGCTATGACAATGAGTGAATTAAGAAGAGTAATCATTGCATAAAATTACAAAAGAAAATTCCCAAGAGAGAACTATTTAATATAAAAAAAAGTGTAATAATAGAGATGTGGGGTGTTTCGCTAGATTTGAACACATATGTGCATAATAATGAATAAAGATTATTTAATATTGAAAAGATTTTTATTTCTTATTATAAATTTTTGTTTTTTTATTGTATTTTATTTGTAAAAGATTTTTTGTAACACCTGTAACCAACATTTATTGAAAACTTATATATGTATATATACATATATATAATAAAATTACAATATTACTGAATTTAGACTATTGGATATTCTTAAGTAACAATATTAAATTTGACAGACTGCAATTATTACAAAATTAGGCAATGACAATTGTGGTCAGGTTTAATAAAAGAATGCTCAATTAGCATGATGGTAGATAATTTAAAATGGATGACTGGTTGAAATAAAATTAAGTTTAATACACTTTTATTAATATTTATATTGAAAAATGGAGTATTACCTAAAAAATATGCAGGAGCACATCTACTACATAGGGTAATATTATTACTTAACAAATAATAGAGAAAATTTTATATTGCCGTTATGTCATAAGACAATTACAGGTTAATGCATTGCCGATGAACTTGAAAATCGAAACTAGAGCCCTATTACACTAACCATTTTTATTTTTTCTGGTTTTTCTAATTTAATTCGAGTTTAGGATTTCATTATTTTTCAAATAGTTTAAGAATAAATAAAAGAGGATGCTTTTTTTTTTATAATACATTATTTTTATTTTTAATATTAATGGTTTTTTTTTTTTGTTTTGTGTCAAATTTTTTTTTTCTTTTATGAAGCTGTTTCAGTACCTATTTTTGCATTGTCAACTTATTTTTCATCATTTTTTTTTATTTTATATATAATTTCTTCTTTATTTATTTAGACTTAAATTTTGCGAATGATTCAATTAAAATTCTAATGTATTCAATATTCCTTATATATCAGAACTTAAAAATTAATTAAAAATAAAATAAAAAAAAATAATAATTAAAAAAAAATAAATTATAAAATGTTTCTTGTAACTATTTGCTATATTAATATTGTTGTTGTACAATTTTATTAATAATTTATTTGTTTTTAATTTTATTTTAAATTATATAATATCTGTGTATGCATGTATATTATTTATTAAAAATTTTCTTAACAAATTACACAAATAATATAATTATCTATGTATATATATATATATATATATATATATATATACATATATATTCTAGAGATAATTGTAATTCCATTTTGCTTTTATTGTTTTTTGTTTTCTTTAATTTTAGTTTGTATTTTATTAATCGCATTTTAAAAATTTTTTAATATTAAATAATTAAAAGAAAATATTTAAATGTTTTACACAAATTAATTTATGTTAATGTTATTGCAATTACAAATTTTTGTATATTTTTTAATTTTAAAATAAAATGAGTGAATTTCAATACCTCATTGCTTATTATTTCCAAATTTAAAATGTCACGATAATTTCTAATATAATGTCAGTACAAAAATTAATTAAAATGGTGGTTAAAATTAATCGGCAAGTCTGATTGCTATTTGAGTAAAATTGAAGTTGGAACTGCATTTAGGAAATTTGTATAATATAATTTTATAATTAATGTGTATATTTTTTTTATTAAGTGATTTTGTAAGTAAAATCTAACAATTCCATTTGCAATATTTACTATTTAAAATAAATCAAAAATTAAAAAAATTTTTTTTTTAAAATAAATTATTAATGTAAAGATTTTTACATATTTTAATTGTATTTATATTGAAATTTAATTAAATATTCATTTTAAAATATTTTGAAGGAAAAAATTTTGACATATTTTATGGTTTGATAATGGAAGTCGAAAAGTTCAAGTTCAATATAATTAGTAGTATAGAGTGTAATTGAAAGAAGAAGCAGAAATAATTCAGTACATAATTACCTTTGAATTCTAATAATTTAATTGTCTTTTTGAAAAATGGAAAATATATTTCAGATGCACATCTAATGCCAAATTGAATTATTCAGTTATCAACACAATATTTCCTGAATAAGTCAAGCTAACGTTTTATTTGCATTTTGATAGACGCTCTTTTATTAATTCGAATTCAACAATTACATTTTATACGATGAGGCGTTTCAATCAAATTTAAAAATGTGTCAAAAATGTGTCAAAAATTAAAATGTACTAAAATACGAAAATAGTTATTTTGCAATAATAAAAGGATTTTAGTTATGATTTCTCTTTTTATTAATAATATCTTTGAATTGCTCATTCTTTTTTTTTAAGTTCTTCTATTTTTATTTGCTATTTGATAATTTAATCATTCCATTTTTTCGTTTTTTTTTTTGGTTTTTCAGTTGGGAAAGAGGAAGAAGGATTTGAGTTTAAACAACAATGATAATTTTATTTATTAAATTAATATTCTATGTTTTAATTATTTTAATATTTTTTTTTAGCTTATTATTTTTAAATTTTTAAGTACCTGTTTCTTTATTTTATTTCTTTCTTGCTTTATTACCTTTTCTTTTTTTTTGGTTTTTAAATTTTTTCTTACTAATTTTTAAAAATTTTTTATCTAACACTTTTTCTTCGGAATTGTGAAACTTAACAAAAGAAATAATAAATATATATAGTTATACGTATAGGTAATATTCTGAAATGGAATATTTTGAATAAGTTTTCAATTTTTATATAAATTTTTCTTTGTTTTCAATTAATTTATAATTTTTCCTGATTTCATTGTCTCGTTCTATATTATATACGTTCATTCTTTTCTATTTTAAAGTATTTTTTTTTATGTTTTTTAATTTTTTTTAATTTATATTTTTACTTTTAATTTAAATTGGTCCAAATGTCAAAGAAATTGACATTTATGTTGCATAAATTATAAATAATGCAACAAAAAGTTATTTTATAGGTTATGTATGGATTTATAATATAGGTACAAATTTTTGTTTTAAAATAAAAGTGCATATTTTTATAATAAATTTTATCGAAATTATTAATTTTTTGTTTTTCAAATTAAAAAGTTCTCTATTTTTGTTGTAATGAAATGTCAAAATTATTTAAGGAAAAAATTTTTTTGACATATGTATATAGCAAAATGAAAATTTTCAAATTTCACTCAATAAATATTAGAATTTATTTAATATTCAAATTTTATTTCGGGTACATAATCAAATAAATAAGTTATTCGGAATTTAAAATCTGATTTTAATGTCATTTTCGATTATTTTTCGAATACTTATAATTTTAAGAATCGAAAATAATATTATTAATATTATTTTCGATTCTTAATATATTCTCTTTTATCAATTTCTCTTTTATAAAATATGCACTTTTATTAAATAAAAATATTAGGACAAAGTATAGGATAAAAAAATTAATTACATATAATTATTATAAATTTAATTAATAAAATTAATAACATTTACTTCAATTTTTATAACAAATTTTTTCAAAAAAAAATAATATAAAAACAAAAAAATAAAATATGCATAGAGTAAAAAATATTGTTTTATAATTAATAATAATTGAACTTGTAAATAAGTTGTGATAGTAAAATCCGAAATTTATTCGGAATTAAAAATTTCATTTGTTTTTTTTTTTTTAAATTAATAAAGCATAATCTATATACACCCTTTATAACATAGAAAACTAAAAATTAAATATTTTCGTAAATTGAGTGAAATCGAAATGAATTTTAAATAATTCTAAAGAGAAAATTACTACTTTTTATCAAACAATTGGATAATTATTTGATATTTTGCGTAGCCCATGTCTAGAGATTTTTTATTACAAATAAATCCGAATTAATCCGAATCAATCCAAAATTATAATTTATAAAATTACTGTAAAACAATTGATTAAATAATTAATAATATTATATTTTTACGTAGCCCTTGTCTTTTTATTCCGAATAAATCCGAATTAATCCGATTTTTTTTTTTTTCGCCACATACTCATATTACTAATTTTGTTACATTAAAAGATATAAGGTATATTTATTTCTTCAATAAATTTTAATGTAAAAATTAAAAAATTAGAAAAATTAAAAAAAATATCATACATAATTTATGTATATATGTTTATTTTATCTGTAATATAATCAATAATAATTATTTATGAATCTAATTTTATATTTATATATTGTATGTATTCTACTTGTTATTTATTTAGGTTTTTCTTTTT